GGTATTTGAGAGGCCTCCGGACCAATTATCCGGTCCGGCCGATTGCATAGCCACACACAAGGAAGGCACATCGGACTCGTTGGCCTCTTTAGTTAGCACCTGGGGATGGGGATGTTCATTTTGCTATTATCACTGAGTGATGAGGAAACTACTCTGTTGCTATCGAGGAAACTACTCTATTGCTATCGAGGAAACTACTCTATTGCTATCGAGGAAACTACTCTATTGCTATCTACAAGAAATAACAGCGGGTGAACGATTCTAATAGGAATAGGAACATCCGAGAAGGCAATAAGCTTGTCTTCAGTAGGGAAAATGAGGCTGGGTTTGGCTGGAACCCATGGTTAGGGTATTATATTTTTGTAGGATGACCTCATTGTCTAAGCCGGTCAAGAGGGGGAATTCGCTTTGATTGGCTTCGTTGTTCTTGAAGTAGGTGGACCATGAGACAAATCCTGGGGTCTGGTGCAACATTTCATGATACTGACTGTGGATTTCATCGACAAATTTGAAGACCTGGGAGCCTGCGTCTGTGTGGATCATGATCCTTTGTCTGGCTGACGGATCCGGGTCAATTGCGTCGTTTGGAAGGTCATCAGGCGGACCAAATATCTGTTCGAGTCGGGCCCAGTCATGGCAAATCATATCGGTATAACCTGTTCGGGGTGGCCAGTCTGTGTACTTGAGATTATTGAAGATGACGAGCTTATGGTGTACCTGCAAATGAGAGGTACCCATTGGGGAATCGCTTTTGAAGGGCCGCGGGGGTCTGCCGTCGATAGTGGCATGCATGCTTGTATCCTTCATGGAGCATGTATATCTTCAGCGAGATGCCTAGTCATTCTATCTATCAGCCTGAGGTGCAAGTTCGGCTGGGGAGCAGAGTGCGACTTACCATGTGGGTTCCGATGGAGGATTCCTCTTTGGATCATTACCTGGTGGATTTCCTTGGTCAGTGGGGCCTTCCGCTTGGCATTGCACCACCTGGTATAGTTCCCTGGCACAGTTAACCAATCAAGTAGGACTTCGATGCTATTCGGGCGGCCGTCGACTCCGCCATCTGTCTCCCAGGGGAGTGCCATGGTCTGTCGGGGGTGGAGGGAATGGGGTAGTTGGGGAAATGGCTGAGGGGTGGGTTGGATATGATTTTTAAGATGAAACCCGGTTCTGTATGCCCAGGCCTCCGGCACGGTTAGGTTTGACTACAGACCTATTTGGTCCCATACCTTGGCCAGGCAATTAACCCCCGTCTGGGGTCATTCGCCCATATCGATGAGCAGGCGGGAAGCCGGTATGACCCGTCACACAACCCGACATCATGAACATCCCGGGTGATATGACCGACAATCTGATAGCCTTGTGGCTCCTGACGCAAGGCCTTCAATGTCGACCTGAAACAATCTACATCCGAGCTCGCCGTGAGGCTTTCACCAGGCCCGATTGATGGGAGCCGTGGACAGATCCAAGAATCCCTGCAACTCGGTTCATCGAACTATTCAGGATGTCCATTGAGGATTTCCGGTGGTTGAGTGACAGCTTGCGGGACCTCTTGCAGCAGGATCCGTTGCGCCGAGGCGATCCCCTATCTGTTGAAGCCCAGGTGGCTGTTGGGTTGTATCGACTGGGGCATGGTTCTAGTTATGTGACAATTGGGCATGTCTTCAGTATTGGCAAGGAGACGGCCGACAAGGCGACCGGCCGATTTGTTAACGCGGTGCTGGCTAGGTTCCGGCGGGTAGCCATCTGGTCAGTGAAATTTTTTAGTCTGTGTTTGGGCTGGGCGGTGTCTGATCTCCACTCACTTTGGTCTGCAGCTATCCCCCTTTGGCGCGCGGGGATCAGTGGGACAAAATCAGTGCTTCCTTTGAGGCTAAGCATGGAATCCCTAATATTGTAGGGGCTATAGATGGCACACACATCCCTTTGGCCACCCCAGCAGATGACCGATGGAAGGGTTACATTAATCGAAAAAGTTGGGCCTCGATTGTCTTCCAATGCGTGGTCGACGGCGATGGTAATTTCCGTAATGTAAGTTTCATCTGCTCGGCTCTATGATGTCAGCCTCCCCAGTTATTGATGTGATTGGTCACAGGTGAGTGGGGGAGCAGGTCCGAGCTGGGGCATAGCATCACAAATGGGACGGCGGCCGAGCCAATGATCCCCCATGGGACCTACCTCATTGGTGATGCAGGATATCCTTCAAATGTGCGAGTTCTCCTACCTTACCTGTCGACTGCTACCGCCGAGAATGAGGAATTCAATTTCATCCAGTCGTCCACTCGGATCATAGTCGAACAGTCGTTTGGGAGCCTGAAGAATCGCTTCCGGATCCTCTTACATGCACAGATGGCCCGGCCGCTTCGGGCAAGGAATAACGCATTTGCTTGCATGATCCTCCATAATCTGCTCAACAAACGGGGCTCCCTGTATCTCCAGGCATGGGATGCGCGCAATCCGGCAGAGCAAGTATTCAATGAACTACCCGATGAACGAGGCGAGGGGGGCAGGAGGCGCGTGGCGGATGAAGGCCAGGTGTCTATGTCGGCCATCCGTGATATGCTTCGGGACCAATTATGTTGATCTAGCAATCTGATTACTAGGCCTATACTACTTGTTCTATGAAATCAATAACAAGCTATGACAACTAAGCACCATTGTAGAACAACATTCTGATAGCGTTAACAACATTCTGATAGGGTTAGAACACACTTGCCAATGTGCATCATTGGCCAATGTGTCAATGAATCACCCCGGTCGGGTCTGCTCCTGATGAGGCAGCCGAAGGAGATCCAGATGGAGTGGTCCCAAGTGGACTGAGGTTGCCTGGGCTGGGTCCCGCCTCGGTCGTGTGGGTATGAAGGGTCGAGCCATTGGCTGAGTCGAACTGTCCCCATGATGAGAGGTTCAAAGAGTTCTCCGGCGTGTCAGGTACCGGGACGCTAGGTGCTTCTGACGAGGCATCAGGTTCCTCGGGACCTATGGTTGAATCATCCGCCGGGGTCCGTTCCTCGTCCGCCGGAGGCCTGCCAAAGCTTTGTGCCCCAGGTGTGGCCTCGTGTAGCTGGTCGAGTGTTTCACAGTCTCAGCGGAATCCTGCAGGTTTGGATGTGAAGGAAGTGGAAGCTCACCCATTCCCGTTGCATGCGGTTCCGCTCGTATCGCCCTCGGTCATTTGCTCGGACATTACCTGGGCAGTCCCCAATGCCATGTGCCTCTTTCTCCCGGCGGACTTGGGTGTTAAGCATTGTCGTTTGGGTGATATCACTGTCGGGGATGTGTTGGTCGTGATCAGGCATATTTGACATGATAGTGTGCTCTTGGGTTTGGTCCGACCTCTGCAGTTGGACAGGGGTGAGTTCACGAGGGATACTAGTTAGGCCCCGCGCTTGTGCGTGGTAAGCCCTAACTTGTACAGCTTCCCAAACGGCAGTCGGAGCGGAGCAAATATGGCCTGATGGGCATCCTGCATCATCTTCCATTGGGGATTAGGGGGATCGAGTAGACAAGGGCTGAATTGCAAGGCAATCAAGGAGCCAAATAGCCTAGAGAAATCAGTCAAGGAAAACAATTCACATGGGCAGGTTTATGAAGGAAAACAAATCACAAGGGCAGGATCATGGGCCGAATGGCCTAGAGAAATGAGCAAAGAACATATCACTATTGCTACCAGGGGGAACACCCATAGAAGAATCCCTGATGAAGCCCTAGGCCTCGTTGCCCCTCGGAATGGGCTCCTGAACCCCCAACATGTGCATCATCGCCGCCTGGAACAACCGGGCATCCCTTTCCTGATCCCTACGAGCATCATCTTGAACTTTCCTGTCTTCTGCGAGTTGCTTCTGGCTGGCCTCGTATCAACACGCCTCCTCGGCCCGCCATTCATGAGCCAGCCGCTTCTCTTCCCTCCGATCCTCGTCGCGCACCCGTCGCTCCTCATCTAGCACTTCGTTCCGCTTCTTGGCCAGCTCCCGGTCAATTTCCAGTTGAACCTCCTGCATGGAGCGGTCATGGGCCGCCTGGGTCAGCTCGGCCTTTCGCGCGGCCTCCTTGTCTTCAGCCTTCTTAGCGGCCATCTGACGATCCTCGACCCGCGCGGCCTCCTGTCAATCCTGTGACTGTTGAAACATGATCAAGAGGGCTTGTGCCAAAGAATCATCGGCTTTGTTCAACTCAGTTCGCCCCCGTCGGCGGGTAGGATTCGGGCCGGCCGGTGGTGGCTTTGGCATCGCACTGGCAACCCGGGCGGGAGTCTCAGGTGCAGGTGGCGCCTGAATTGGTGTGGGATCGGGTTGTGTTGAGGTCAGTGGGCAGGCCGGCGCCCTGGGGATACCATCGAAAAGCGAGAACTCCGGTACGGGGCCTCCCCCCATCGTCGTCTGATTGGGATTATCAAGATCCTCATTATCCGAGTTGTCCAACGCTAACTCGGCCGCTGTCAGGCCCGCGACCCCCTGTCAATCACAAAGCAGCTGACTCGCCTCCTGGGACAACTCCGCCTCGGCCCCCGTCCGAGCCTCCCGGCCTTCTCCACGGCCATCCTCACACAAGAGGGCCCCAAGGTCATCGTCCAGTTCAGCATGCCCATGTGCATTAGCCGCCGCGTTGTCCCCGTGCATTGCATTGATGAAATCCCAAATCTAGGAATCCACACGGGTCAGTATCCGTCAGGTCAACAAAAGCCCCAGCCAGGTCAAGTTTACAATTGCGGCTCACCGTCTCGGATAGGTGTTCCTTGTCTAAAACTTCATATAGTCCCCCGCTTCCCGAATGAGACAGCTTGTCAAAAACAACCTGCAGGGCCCCATCCAACGAAAGCGCGTCAGATAGGGTCATACCCGATGAAGCGAGGAGACAAAAACCCCCACCTTCCACATGTTCATCAACGCTTGATATCGCCGAAGGATGACATCGTTCGCAATTCCGATCAGGAGAGGGTAGTCACCCCGGTCGGCCTCGCATTTGAGGAAGTAGGGTGTCCAAGCTATGAAACCAGGGGTCCGCTTGATCAGGTTGTCGTGTTCCTCCTTGATCTCCTTAACATAACGTAAGAGTTCTAACGAGGCCTCCTTGGACCACACAAACCTAGGGGTTGGCGTCCCCGCATCCGATACCTTCAAGGCCGCACGGGCCTCCTTCGCGGCGAGCCTCTGTCTTTGAGCCTCCTGCTTCTGAGCTGCCTTTTGGATCCTCTCGGCCTTTTTGGCTGCAGTGACCGCTTTGTCAGCATCGATTTCGGCGCGGGTGCGGTTCTGCTTCCGGGTTGAAGAAGATTTCAAACGAGTCTTGGCTCCGGCGGAGGCTAAGAACGGATTGATTCGACCTGGGGCCGCCGGAGTCAAGTTGCCCGAGGGGGGAGTTGCTTGCCCCACCGTCCTCGGATCCGACAAGCCCGAAGAAGCCATAGTCTGCGCCCCGACAATCAATTCAGACACTGCACCGCTAGCTTCTGACGGGGTCCCGTATCCTCCGCCGATTACTTCAATGTTGGTCGCCCTGCCCTCGAGCGGATGGTTGTGCATTTGGTCGTCATGGCCGAGCGACCCGTAGGTGGAGTTGGTGAGAGGCCGATAGGAGTGCAGGAGCAAGCCATTGGCGGTGAGTAGATTACCGGATGTATGAAGGTGGGAATCCATTGATGTGTTGACTTGGTATCTGGGAGCCGGGTGGGTGTGATGTTTCTGGCCGATGCCGTCGGAGAGGTCGGTCGGGGATGTGGTGAGATTGGTTTGGTATCCACAGGATCCAGTGTGAGCATTAGGTGCTGTATGATTTGTCATCATACAGGACAAACCCGACACGACTTCTGTATTCTTTGCCCAATCGAAGTTTTTGAGATCTCAAACCACCTCCGGAGGTGGTTTGAGAGTTTCTGAGCGGGTTTTTGAAATGAAAAAGAAATGAAAAAGAAATGAAAAAAAAGTTCAAATACTTTTCAAAAAAATTCAAAAAAAATGGAAATATTGTTTATAATCAGGGCCTTAAACAACGACGACACCTGAGATGAAGAAGATAAGAAAAGAAAAGAGAAAGAAGTTTGAGGAAAAACATTAGATAAATAATGAAAGACATTTTATGGTTCGATATGAAGAAGATAGATGAAAAACAACGATAGTGCATACCTGCACGAGGGGGGTTGATAACCGCACGCCAACCCCCATGGCGCACGCCAATCCGCACGCCAGGCGCAGATTGGCGTGCGGGCCTGCACGCCAATCTGCTGCAGGGGAGTTGGCCTGCAGTTGGCGTGCAGGCCTGCACGCCCAACTTTAGGTCCTAAACGCATATTTATATGCGTTTAGGACCTGGGCCGTCCCATAGGACCCAGGCATGGGTCCTACAATGGGACGGCCCCATTTTTCCTTTTTTTTTCTTTTTTCTTTCTTTTTTTTCCCCCTCGGCCTAGAGAGGCCGAGGTCACACCGCTGGGAGGAACCCCTCCCGGCGAGCGGTGTACAGTCCATTTGCCACGATCAATCACGATTCACAGTGATGTCAGCTAGGCCTCAGGCGAGCCGTCTTCTCGAGTCTCTTAAACAAGGAATAATCCCTTATACAATTCTTGCCTCTTTTCCTTTTTTTTGTTTTGGAAGGTTAGATCACAGTTCGTGTTCTTTTCCCAATAGTAGGTATAGGTACTTCAGAGATTATTTTTTCTTTTCCATTGTCTTAATAATCGACTTCGACTGCTATTGTTTTTTTTGGTGAGACAGATAAACTGCGTTTTTCAGCTAGACACTTATCATAAATATTAATGGACAGCCTACTCAAAACGCTGGGCCTGCGAGGTTCAGAGCTCAAACCACTCCAACTAATCAAGAAAATCTTGAGCGTTGGATGCAAATCGACGTCAGGTAGTAATGCGACGAGTACAACGGCCGGCACGGTAACCCAAAGGAAAGGAAAAAAATCTCAGGAGATTAAAGAGCCTTTGGATTCCACTCGGATTATGAAAAGTCACAGACGGCCGAAAAAGGTCAACTGATAGGCACCCCGGCTTCGTCCTCGGAAACTCTACCCCATGAGGAGGACATCCGATCCGACAAAGTGTCCTCGGAAGATGAGTTGGCTATGATCCCGCTAACGGACGATACTGAATCTCCGATCATCACGGTGAGGTCTTTACTGGTTGGATTCCTCGTCTACCTTGTCCAGCGGAAGGAAACCCTTCCGCTGGACTGTACACCGCTCGCCAGGAGGGGTTCCTCCCGGCGGTGTGACCTCGGCCTCTCTAGGCCGAGGGGGAAAAAAAAGAAAGAAAAAGAAAAAAAAAAGGAAAAATGGGGCCGTCCCATTGTAGGACCCATGCCTGGGTCCTATGGGACGGCCCAGGTCCTAAACGCATATAAATATGCGTTTAGGACCTAAAGTTGGGCGTGCAGGCCTGCACGCCAACTGCAGGCCAACTCCCCTGCAGCAGATTGGCGTGCGAGGCCGCACGCCAAACTTCTTTGGCGTGCAGGCCCGCACGCCAATCTGCGCCTGGCGTGCGGATTGGTGTGCGCCATGGGGGTTGGCGTGCGGTTATCAACCCCCCTGCACGAGCACAGCAAGTGTTTGTGGTTTTTGGGAGTTAGGTTTTTGGAAGGACACACAATAGGAAATCTATTCTAGAGAAAGGAATAAAGGGAAAAGAAATGAGAAAAGAATCCAGATTGGTTTTGATTTGATGTGATCGAGTTTGACTTACTAGTTTCTCTATTCTTCACATGCGTTTTATGGATAAGCGTGTGAGGAAAAGAGAAACTAGAAGTGACGGTTGGAGTCGAGTTTTTGTAGAGCGGGGACTTTCCGATTAGGTTAGGTTTGGCGAGTTTCTGATGGTGAGAATTGTGCATGAGTCGGCAACGCTGCGTATCCTGTATGCGCAGTGTTGCGGACTCGTATTCTAACACAGCCAGGAGGCAACCCACAGAAGTCGTCAGGTGATCTGTGTGGGACCATTGAAGCCCAAAAGTAACCTGGGCTGTCAAAGTGTGTCCCCAATCGCCCAATCGAAGCACCATTAAAGATCCTCTCAGGCATGGGTTTTTTGCAACATATAAGCTGCAAACCACTCAGCTATAAAATCTGAGTCACCACAGTCAATTTGATCCCTCTAGTCAACTGGGTGAGCCAGCCAGCTCTGCATGATCTTTGTTTCCAATCAGATTGGATTGTGAATATTCGTTCTTCCATTTGGGACAGTAGGATTGGAGCTTTCATAGGTGATTGAACCATATCTCCGGATTTTAGCTGAGAAACATACTACGTATGTACTTATGATCAATAGTATTGGAAACTCAAGTGATTGATCATGGGTATTTTTGTATCTTGATTGGATTTTTCTATCTGCTTTTTCTTCAAGCCTTCTGATTCTATTCAGCCCCTAAAGTATGACATACACAACAAAGAGGTGGTTCATCAAATTATTGCACGTTTCTGGGACAGTGTCTAATAAGTCTTTCAGTCAATGATTTACAGTTTACTAGATGGATGCTGGTTATCCCACATGGTGCGGACTACCATCTTTGATTCTAAATTTCGTGTTAGATCTTGATGATCGTAGCTGTTCAAGACGAACTCCAAATCTCGTGTTTCATTCGGTCGAAGGAATATTGCATTGGAGGCTTGTTTGGTCTTCATGTCTTTGAAATAACCTCGGACTCCTTTAGACCAATTATGAAACAATTACTACAAGTTGTTAGTTGTTATCTTGTTGAGGACAAGGGGCTGAAAAATGGAAATCTTACCTGGCGGATGTTCAACTTTTTTGTATGTAAGTTGAAAAGAGTGTAAAAAGAATAGATTTTTGGTTAGACCAGTTTCATTTTGATTTGAGGAACAGATCTCAGATTTGAAAAAGGCTAAGAAAAGAGCAATTTACCGTTCACCCAAGCCGCAACCCCGCCATGAGCAACTTCTAAGGATATCTGATTATGTCCGATGGGACGACTTAAAACCTTTGTGGGTCTGAGCAGGCAATCTTTCAGCTTGACAGGATGAAAGAACTGCTCATTTGTATGCTTTCCGTCGTGAGTTTTCAGAGTAAGGTGGAGCCATGCATCATTGGCTGGATGGCCCTTGGGGACGATTTCGGATAGGCCAGATGATCGTAGTAGATGTTTGGAGTTAAGAGGACCAACAGAAAACTCTTGCGTGGCACTTGAGAGGTGATTGCCGGCAAAATCGTACCCTGCGCCGGGGTTTTTTTTTTCGCACGATTTAACACTTGTTGGTTATTTCTCCACAGCCATTGATCCTCTCGAAGTCTGACTCACAATTCAGTTGCGCTTCGCCTTGAGCAATTTCCCTTGATTGGATCACGCATCAGAATCTCTCAAAGTAAATGGGTTCAGTGAATGTGAGCTCACCAGAGGTCAGAAGTAACATAAATATCGAGAGTCTGTGTCGTCACGTGGTATATTGGCGAGATGATCACATGGCTTTGAACACGCTCTGCAAGATAGTGAAAGATTTTCCATCGGCCGGTATATTCAATCGATGACCAGCTAGTGCACTCCCATACATCGTTTACTATTTTTATCGTCGTAAAATTGTCAATCGAGCCCATCTCGATTAGTTTTATTTTCAAAAGAAAATCTCACATTGCCAATAAACCGCGCCTGGGGTGAAGAATTCAAGGAGGAAAAAAAAATTTCAGGTGTGTGCGCCTGTTAGTTAATCAAGAATTCGATTCATACCCATGTTTTTCTCTCTTCGACTAGCGCCTAGTCGATAGTAACTGATTTGTGACGCCATGAAAGCGGCTTGGAAGACTAAATGTATCTATATACTTCAGCTGTCAAGCGATCTCGTTCTTGGTCATGTCTTGATTTCAGACAAACCTTGAGTGGAATAGGCCCATTGTGCTAAAAGAGCACGCGCATCACCGGTAATGTTGGGAGTTGGATAATGTCTTGTCACCCCTGTCGTAAGTTCATTCTGACCGCCATCTACTGGGAAAGGATATGCGAGAGACCCAGCAGGTGGATGCTGAAATGACTGGTTAAACATATTGCATGTGCAATCAGGGGTACACAGAGAAAGCTTACTTTGTTGTGAGCACGCATCACAGATGAATTGAAATTGTAAGCCTCTGGTGAATCAAGAACACGGTCCAAGGTGTAGATTGATGATAGCGAGTGAAATCCAAACTATTTATCCCAAAGGTCCCAGAGCACATCATTTCAGCTCTGTCACATTCAAGTAGAGTGGCGTACACCAGAGTTTGCGGCTAACCTCATTGACAAATCTAGCCACAGGATAAGAAGAAATATTGAAGCTGGCTGAGGTGTCATAGTTATAATGCTCCTGGTCGCCATACAATTCCCCTTTGGTAAAAGCATCATACCTAGAGGTATAGGGATCAAGCGAAAGGTATCTACATATTTAGGAGCCATGCGCGTCGATCAGGTTAGAAGTCAAGCAAGAAGTTAATGGTTATGAGTTATGACAAATTTGAAGTACCCTTGTGTAGTTGAAGATGGGATGTAAGATGCGGAGCGAGTGTTCTCAAGAACAAGATCCCGTATTACGTCTGGGGTTGTCTCGAAAGAAATTTCGTCAGCGAGCAAATCAGAAAACCAAAACTTGCGTTGCTTACGATTGTTCAGGTAGTCATATTGATCGAAATAAATGGACCCATTCGGCCAAGTGTTCCTGACATCCATCAAGTATCCTTCTCCCTGTTAACAATCCATGCTATTATCAACATAAGTCTTCAAGAAACAACCTCGAATGATATGAAAGAGCCGGCACTTTCTTCGTTGTTCCCAGCCCAAAGGGCAGTGCTGGGATGACGACTCAGGCGAGCAACGTTTTCAGCAACTTCCGCACGGATATTGTCCAGGAAGGATTCCGGGGAAACAGGATAGGCTCCACAAGCAAAGACTGCTTCAGACCAAACTAAAATACCAAGCTCGTCACAAATCTGGAAGGAACAAGATTAGCTTACAGCTCAGAGAATTCAAGAGTAAAATCAAGAAAGACACTTACATCATAAAATTCATCTGACTGATAAGCACCACCTCCCCAAACTCTAATGACATTTTGGTGTGCTAGCAAAGAAGATTCAACGAGCCAGCGGATGGTGGTAGAATTTACTCGAGCTGCAAAGTTGTCGATTGGGATCATACTTCAAATTCATGAAAGTAAGAATCTACATTTGTTGGGGTAGAAGAAGTACAAGGAACAAAAAGCGGAAGAATGGACGGACCTTGAGCCTTGTACATAAAACGGCTTTCCGTTGATTTCGAAGGTAAATCGGGTTCCAGGTTGGATTCCCTGAGAAACTTCTCGGTCCGTGTATCGACTTTGGTCAACAATGATAGTTCGAAATCCCACTCGTTCGTACCAGGTCAACGGGTTCATAGGAGTGCTTTCTTTTCGCGATCTCGCATGTTGACTAGGGAATTCCAAGGTCAACTTCAAATCATAAAGCTTTGGGTTGCCCAGAGTACTAGGGTACCAAAGCTCGACATCTTCAGGTTGGATGAGGAACTCGGTCGTCCAAAAGGAATTTGGGCCTAAATTGCGGTATTCAGCAGGTTCTAGAAGAGTGAGCTGTTTCGCGGGAAGTTGTATTGACGTTCCAGGAAAACTAGCGACCAAGGTGGGCTTGATGTCTGAAAGAGGTTCTGGGGAAGTAATTGGGAGGGTGATGTTTACTATCCATGGTGCACTTTGGTTTGGGGGGAGGTTGTTTCGTTGTCCTAGGTGCAAGTTTGATTAGGCTCAGAGGTCTCCAAACCATAACACTATCAAAATGCTCGCGTACCTTGCCGATAGATGTCTATTAGAGACCTATGCACCCATACAAACGGCGGCGAATCGTCAACGGTGTCATGGACAGCGGAATTCTTCGGTCTCTTTTTCCTCTTCTGAATTGTCAACCCCGTATGATGGTGGTGATGACTATGGATGTCCTGTGGCGTAGCAGGCTCTGGCTCAACGGGCTCCAAATTTGTTTCTTTGATCCCTTGATCTTCGGGAGTGGTCAGACCGATCAAGTAAGCAGGCTGAGTGCTGCTCCAAAAATGAACACACATAATAGTCAGCAATCTATTTACCTAGTGCTACTGGTAAAAAGAGGAGGGTCTCACGGGCCAGAAGGAAGATAAGCTGGACCTAATGGCCGGTTCGCAATGGCACGAAAAGTTAAAAATAAACGTCAGTTTTATTACAGTATCAACGATTGCACCCAACCAACTGATCTACGGCTCACCCCAATCCCATCCAAAATCCGATTGCTGCTTTCGAACCCAATTGCGGTAGCTGTACTCATACCGGAGGATAGTTGTAGCGCGTCTTCTACCATTGCTACCGGACGATCCTGATGGAAACCAAGTGTGGTTTGGCTGATTAGCTAGACGACTGGCAGTATCCCATGCCGAAGCAAACCTGAGCGTCAGAGGAATCGATCTGTTCCGATGTTCTTCGACAATATCAGTCACTTAATAAGAAAAAAACAAAAGTTAAGTGATATTTATCAAGTTAAGTTTGCTGGAGTAAAAAAAATCTTACCATCAAGAACCCAGCTCCTGAAAGCGTTATCAGTTGATCCGACTTTCTGGCCGCCAAGGTGGACCTCACAATAAGTATCTAAACCTTGGAATACCAGATAAAACTTTCAATATTTTCGAGGAAAGGCAAATGCACCAAGTTTCTACCCAGAGATCAGCCAAATAACTAAATTTGATACACCGATTCAAGATGAAGTTTCACGCACATGATTTACAGCTTCCCATTTTCTATTTTTACTGATTTTGAAGTTGGTTTCCCAAGTCCACGCTTTCTCTTCACCCACCCATCGTGTTGTGCCTTCGTTTAATCCAATGTTAGGATCATCAATCAAGCCAGCACTGATGAGCGCTAGATGGGGTTGATTCAAAAATGCAGTCGGGACTTGTATCGATCGGTTGGCATTTGTAAGGCTCCAATCTAATCCAGATAAATGGAGAGTTGTGCTTGGAAAAGGAGGACCTCTTGCGGGAGTAGAGGCTGAGAGGGAACGTCGGCATAATTGAGTCAAAAAAAGTAGACCATTAAGCAAACAGAGACCGCAATTAGAAAGCATCTTTTCGGACGGAAATCTGCAGCTTGAAGGAGTTGATCAGTCCAACTCTTCACAAGATGTCTGCAGCGGTTTCGAGAAAGCTCGTCGTCACTTTTAACCAGCTTCCGGAAATTTTCCGAACAAATCTTCCAAGCAAATGCAGAATATTCCGAAGAAAGGGTATTCCACGCAAACTAAGTCCCCTGTTTCCCTGATGTGAGCGGTGTTTGAATGCAAGTCGAAGTTGACAGAAGTGTCCCCCCTCCGAGGAGCTTGCGTCGAATTTAACACCAAATCTCGCTGGAGTGGAGCGAAGACCGGAAAAACCAGTGCGTGCCATTGCAAAGCGACTCCTCTATTGCAGGAGACTTAATGGCTATCTCGGAATTCTCCAGCAGGGCGGAAGCAGCTCTTTCAGCCCTACAGCATTGTATACAGACAGACAAGCTTCTTCTCCTTTTAACCTTGGAAATGTTTAAGCTGAGTTTCACAATCGCCTACTTCTTGTCATCCTTGAATTGAATCTTGTGACACAGTCTTTTTCATAAATTTTTCATCACTCTTCTTGCATCTCCTTCTGTGTATCTGCAACCACCCATTGGCAATCCCCTTATTTACAAGCAGCACAACTCCTTAGATCGAAACTCATAGAGAGGGGCGACATGAAGTTCTGAAAATATACCAAACAACGTCAAAAAGTCTCAAACAGTGAAATTAGAGCGGGAATCCAGCCAACCAAGACCGTCAACAGCTCTCAATCACCTGCCGCCCAAGTGATCAAGAGCTAAGGTCAAAAGAAGACCAGGAAAAATTGCAGCTTGACTAGAATCCTGTTGACCAGCTGAGAAGAAGAAGCAAACAAAGCTTTGTGCACCAGGGTGAAGGGTAATACATACTGTATACCTCAGACATAACCTCCCTATCATGGCAAGAACTACATTGAGAGTTCATGCTCTCAGTGTCTACCGTCAATTGGTAATGACCCAAACAAATGGTCTTTCCCTCAAATATCCATTGATGTTGTGAAAATTGTTGGGAAATCCATGTTGCAATGAACCTAGACTAGGAAGAGAGATTGTGGAAGGCTCAGGTTCATTGCATGACAAAAGAAAAGACAGAAGACAAGAAGAGACAAGAAGAAAGGCTAGACTCACCTAGGCCAGGAAGAGAGATTGTGGATGGATGAGGAAAAAAGAACCTCCACAGTCTGTCTGCTGGCCAAGAGTGAATGGGCAACATTTCAAACCTTTTGCATCATGTATCCCCAATTTGAAAATATCGGGGCAGTCAACACTATAGCCAATTGATAAAATTGGTGTTGCAAACATAGTTGAAATGACTGGTATCATAAAAACTCTAAAGCAACAAATATTCTCCACTGAAATATTGCAATAAATGAGCTAATTTACACCCAATGTAAATAGTATCTTATATATTATAAAGATGAATTAATATAGAAAAAAGGGGGATGCTCAACATGAAAAATATTAGAAATTAAAACCTCATTTTTTCCTGGACTGACATAACATTTTGAATAAGGCCTTTTGCCATTGGAAAAAATCCATACCATGAAACTCTCTCTTTCCCAACTTTTCTCTGTAAGAATTTTGGATAATTTGAGGAGAAAAAAAGAGGGTTCTCACTTGAGGATTTCTGAAATTGAATATGTGATAACATGAATTTTGGACAGAAAATCAAATGTCAAAAGGCATACTTCAAGAGCTTGTAAAATCTTGGGCTTCTCTAATTGATAATTGATAAGGTCAAGTTCAAATAAGTTAAGAAAAAGGGTAACATGAATGGGAAATTTGGGCGCTAAACATTTTTTTAATTACACTTTTGACCAACTCTCAATGATCTAATTTTCACAACAACCCCAAATGTAAGATCATCTTCACCCCAATCCCTATTTCTGAGGCTTTATATGGTGCCCAAGCCAGTTTTTTTTCCACCACTAGCTGCTGTATTGGCCTTAAAGGTGGGTAAAAGCCAATCAGTCAGAGTTGTGGAGTGTGTGAGGATTTTTGAGAACTTTGACCAATTTGGGACCCTTTGATGCAAAAAAATCTTTTTGGGAAAAGTGACTGGTTTCTAATGGTGGATTTCCTATATTTGATACCCCCTATTTTATGTTTTTGTGCCCTTTCTTTGTGGATCTGTATTCCTCAATTGATTTCTTTTCATTCATGAAAATCAAAGGAACATTTACCAACAAAGAAGTAAAAAATCAAGCAAAATTTGCCAAAAAAAAAGAAGTATAACATCAAATTGTGAGAGTTGAAAATGAAGAATTAGGAAACATCTGGATTGAAACAATGACAAGGAACAATCTTGATGGGAAAGAAATTAAATGGGGACCATTGACAAGGGCAAATTTTGATGGGAAAGAAACTAAATGAGAATAAAGCAAAGACAGTGGAAGGGAAACAAGATGGGAAAGCAATGAAAGGAAACAAAACACTTTAGCATTGTAGTTGACAGAAGTGGGCAAAGAGAACTTCTTGGCGAGCTACATCTTCCCCAGATACAAACCCTGGATCATCCACATTGATCATCTGTGAAACGTCTGCAGCTTGTCTCAGTTGACATCCTGCCGGTCAAGCAGAAAGTTGTGTGGTACTACACATTCCTTAATCCAACAGTTCAGACTCCAGACAGTATTTTAGCCGTTTAATTGAAGTGGCAGACTCTTCAAAGATTGCCATATATTTTTTAGAATACACATAGTATGTTCCACTGCAACATGATGGTGACTGAGTTTGTTCTTAGGTAGCAAGTTTCCACCCAAGCGTTTATACTAAGGGACAACTGTTTGTGAGGCCGTATACGCCAAATCTGCCAAGAGGTACTCCCCAGGAGAGAAGAAATGCCTTCACCTGTGGATGTGTATAAAGCTGGCGGGAAAATGTAATCAATCATGTGGTTTATTGGTTGGTTGGGCAAGAATAATGGGGAATAACAGACCTTTGAGTTCTTGTATACTCTTTGATTGCAGGCAGTACCACACCAGCCATGGACTGCGTAGAGAATTCTTTTTTGTGAGTTACAAACAAACAGAGAGTTCACTGCATACACCATCTTTTGCATCCAGTAGTACTCCTTGTGTTTGGAGGGTGCTGCTGACAGAGGGAAGATGGTCCATATCTTCCTTTGGTCCATACTCATAGAACTTAAATCTTTTTAGATAATTGTTTAATCTGAAACAATGTTGATTTAATCCTATTGACCACCCAAGGAGTTGTTGACGTCAAGCTTTCTTTCCCCAAAAATTGTAGTATCACCATCTCCCTGCATGAATAACTGAAATGAATGTCTGATCAATCTGAGATTCAGATCCACATTGTCTAGCCTTTTTTCATAATAAGCTAGCAATCCTTCACCCAAAGGAACACCTCTCATCCATTCAAGGCCCTGTCTTACCCGTAAATGGCCACCACAATGATTGACAAGCTTGTATTTTGTCCTTGTGTTGATGTGAACCTTTGCATACATCCGAACCAAGACACTATGGCCGAGTGGTTAAGGCGCTTCCCTGCTAAGGAAGTGGACATTGTCTGCGCGAGTTCGAATCTCGTTGGTGTCGGGTATCTTTTGTTGTTTTGGTTGGTGCTTGCTCAGCCCGATGCTATCATCAAACAAGAGAAAGGATGTCAAATATTGTTTATTGTTTAAATGGACTTTGTGCATGTCAACTTCTGGCAGTTGCACCAGTTTTTCTTGTAGTGCTCTTTTAACAAAAGTCAAGGTGGGAAAAATGGATTTCAGTCTATCAGGAGTTCTTTTAAACATCATTTCAAGTTCTTATCTGCTCAATTGATGTTGCTTTCTCAGCATAGAATACTTTAAATTTGTACTTTCCAAATATCTGAGGGATTAAGATGTATTTATTTTGTAGGAATGCTTTTTCAAGGTGTAATGATACATCAAGACAAGCAATCCACTTACAGACTTTAGTATCACTATTTCAGCTCAAGTTTAAGCGGGAGTATCACTTGAGATTAATCTTTCTTTGATCTCCTTTAATTATTCCATGTTTCATGAAAATGTAAGCATTAATTGAATGAGTACATATGAATCAAAGAAACTGATAAGAAATGGAAATGATTAAAAGAAACATGTGCCTAATGTGTGGAGTGAACAGGATTGGTTGTGAGTGTATTTTTTCTGCTTGAGGAGATATCATTTAATGCTGAATATTTATTCTTGAAATTCTCGATAGTAAGACTGAATGTGTCGTCGAAAAAATCCTTGCAACGTTTAGGAAATTCACGGTTATGCATGCCAAAAAGTAGTCTTCTATGCCTGTACATCCAGGACTCCAAAAACGTCCAAAGAGCACCGTGAAGTTCCCGGGACCTCATCTTCCCTTTATTCTTGACTATGTAGTGATTCAAAACCAACTGGGACATTTCTACGTGTTGTGAAGATTTCAGCTCGGATATGTTTAGGGAGAATCTTGAGGAGGCTACGTATGATTGACATGCCGTCGTCATTTCCCTCACGTAATCATATTCTTGAGCGTTTTCTCTTGGAGCGATCGTATCAATCATTTCAACATAAAACAGAAAGACTGGAAAGAGATACGCCAACACCATGCTTTCTAACTTCCTTTCATACATCGAAAGATCAATGTCCTCCCAATATTTCGACCAAATCAATGGGTGATCTGTAATCATTGTAATCCGATTTTCCCAATATTTCATCCTTTGTACGACGAGTCCATCGGCCAGTTCATGTGACATACCTCTAGAAATACCGATATGTCTACTCTGTTCAGAGGCGAAGTTTGCTTCGGAAATGTACATTTCGTGATCTCGGTCTACTCTCAGGTTGATCAAGATTTTGCTTAACTTGTGTGTGTATATTTGTGATTTTTCTTTGACGAAAGCCTTCCAATCGAAGCTTAATCTGGGGAAACCATATCTCCGACACTCGGGATTTTGGTCGATAGGAGTCAAATTAGATACCTTTCCAATTGTTTCATGAAAATAACTAAGCCTTCTTCTCTTGGCATCATTTTGCGGAGTTGGGCTCGACTTTGTAGATGATCTCACTGATTTTTGCAAGCTTGAGTTTCTGAATTTCTCGATTGGCTTTTGTGATCGATTCCCGGAATCTGGAGTGATGGGGCCCAAGGTAGGGGACTTTGAACTTGCTTTTTTGGCTCTAACATTCGGTTTTTGAGCTTTGAGGCTTGGATATTGAGGCATGTCACTGAATTCTTCAGGTTCGGTTTTCACGCTGATTTTGATGGCTTTGGCACTCGATGATGAGTGTTTTCCCATGGCTAGCCCGTCGTGACCCAATGGCTGATCGTTTGTCACCTCTGGACTGTCGACTGTCTCGACTGTCTGATGTTGATGAATTACTGGGCTTTCTTGGTCTCGGTGAGCTGTTGGAGACAATCCGGTTGGAGCTGGTTCCGAAGATTCCAACGGAGCCTTCATTATAGTTGTCTCTTTTGTCTGGCTGTCTGAGTTTGACATCGGTGGAAATTCATCATGCTCCGAAAGATGATTGGAATCTGAGAGTTGTGCATCGGCAAGCCAAGCGAAATCCCTCTCCCAGACTGAGAATTGATCAATAGATCCTGGCGAAAGGTGCCATCCTTTCACGAAATAGTCTGGCGACGCGTGTCCTCTATGAGGGGGTTCGAGGAAGTCGTCAGCCGAGTCGACTGCAACATTTAACGCGTCCGCTGGGCTTTGTGGACGGTGTGGGTTCGAGAAAGCTCTTGAGCTCTCAGGTGCGCGATCTAGGGGGTTGAATGTATCGCGAACACCTTCCGAGCCGCTGGGCTGCCCTTCCCGTAGCCTTTCGAATCCATCCTCCAGAGTTAAATGACCGATTGCATTGCAGACTGCATTTAGCAATGGTGAGATAAGGAGGGGGTATGATATCGGGCACCTCATCGATGGTTCGGATGATCGATACGTCGTTGCTCTTGTGGTTTGAGTCGCGATGGATTCAAAGATACACAGCTGGTCATTAATAACCAGACTGAAACTGGCTGATTCCCTAGGTGAGTTTTGCAGTTTCTGAAATCTGTTTCAATCTTTTCCCTGTGATGCTTGATAATTCTTCCTCGATCACCTAAGCCCACGGTACCCGCCTTCTTGCCTGTTCTTACTCTGTTAGCTCTAGAGGATACATACACAATTGCAACCGTTTGAAGACACAGCAGGATAGAAAAATGTGGATGCAAAAAATACCTGTTTCAAGTTTCAATATGAGTGAAACAAGTTCAACCTGGAATAAATCAATCAGAATCTTTACATAAACATGATACTAGTATACATACCTCATGTTGAACAATATCCAGAGAGACCAGAAATGGAAAGTTGAGGGTAGTAAGGTCCTCATGCTCACGACGCGTGGCCCGAAGGACTTGTTCAAGTCACCTTTGATGACGAGAGCTAAGCAAGCTCCCTCAACAGAGCATATTATCTGCTTTGCATCAGGACCCAAGAGTACATGTTGAATTTTTCCTGTCCTCTGTCTACCTCTTCCCTGAAATCTCTTCTCACCCTCTTCTTTTCCCCATTCTTATTTCTTGAATAGTCTTTTAAGTTAGACTGGTTTATAGCCTCAAGTAGCTTGTTTTCTGTAGCCTGAATTCATTTCTGAAGTCAATGAAACTTCTTGATCTTGTCAACAACTCATGTCTCTCTGAAGTTTCTTCCTTTTTCTAATTTGGTCTGTTCATAAAATCTGATTGTTAAGAATTAACAACTCCTATACATTTGTGGTGGTATGTTTGTTTTCTCATGATTAATTTACTAGCTTGTCTAAAAGAGACTGAGAAGACTTGTCCGGCTATTTCTTCCATGAACTCATTCATTTCTTCCTCTCAGATTTTATTCAAAATCACTCTTTTATTCATTTTCATTTCTACCACATTTTGCACACTTGTACTTAGTCTATTTGAAACTGGCTAGATACTTGTGAATAAAAATTATTGGTTCTTCCACTCATTTTTTGTGAACCTCCCCCAAAAAAGGCCTTCAACCTTTTTTGTGCCCTTTTCTCAAATTCCTCTGCATTACCTGTCCTGAGTTAAAAATTTCAACAGTTCATAGAGGCTTATATTTATGCTTGAACTCAAAAGATCTGCATTACCCAGCTTTGGGCTGTCAAAAGCTAGTCAGAGTCTATTTGATGTTGGAATGGTTCTTGAATCTCAGAAATGAGGCTTTGTATTTAGCATCTTGTAAAACCAACCAGATCAATCTATGAACTCCAGAAGAATCACTTTGATGGTAACTTGAAAGAGTTCCAGGTTTAGATTCCTTAAAGATAACAAAGAGGGTATGAAATGAAGAATGATGTGGAGGTTCCTATTCCACATTCAAGGGCAAGAAGGATGTAAGAAATCAGACTTAAGTTCATCATCAATGTCACTCGGCTCAAACAATCTTCATTCTTTCCTGCCTATTCCAAAGTTTGTTTGTTTTTTTCTTTCAATCCCATTCTCTTGGGTTCCTCAAGCTAGTTAATCACTCAACTCGGGCCTCTTAAATTTTCTTGTAGTAATTCAACTGCTCCCCTCTGAAATTTGGAATTTACTTATTTAGTAATAGGAGCCATCAAAAAGACCGGCTCCTTGTGAGTTTTCTTGTCCATTGTTCTGAGTCCCTTGGCATATTGTGCTGTTTTATTTTGTTGCTTTCCATCATCTCATCATCAGGGATTGGGAAACTTTTTTTTCATCATTCTTAGCTTTTCTCACCATTTCATGTTGACAAATTTCCAATCTAGATTAATTCCAGTCCTTCCTTCCCATCCTCAGATTCCACCCTAATCTCTACATCTATGGCGTTCAAAGTTGAGTATGCAAACATTTATGCATGCATGTTTCATAAATGATCAAATCTTGTTTGCTGGGCAACCTTCAGATTACATAATCAGATTGTCAAGTTTCTCTGTAAACAAGATTTGATCAATCATGAAACATGCATACATTAAGGCTCCGTTTGGCAGTCCATTGTATCATAAGAAAAAATATGTAAATCCGGATAATCAGAATAAGGTTGATAAACCGTAAACCAATTATCACAAAGCTAGACAATCATCTGCTTATTACAGTGGATTTTTGGTGTTGTAGCGTGACCAGCCAAACATGATTTTCACTTATGATAATAAATGTGGTCCCCAAAAAAGATTTTCAGGAATTTCCTATGATATTTTATAATATCGTGGACTGCCAAACGGAGCCTAAATGTTTGCACAACTTTGAACACCATAATCAATGGTTACTTTTTTCCCTCATTCTATAATCCCATTCTTTCTTCCCCCTTCTTTCCCAATCTTCCTCACTTTATTTTTATCATCAACACTCTTAACTGATCACCTTCAAAATCCTCACCTCCAAACTCGCAAATTTCATTTGCTTGGTGAGACTTACTCACAACACACCTTATTTCATTATCTATAAATCTTGAATTTCAATGGGCTTCTTTTCTTCTTCAGCCTCTCTCCTTTCTTCCTTGATTATCTCCTAATTGTTCTCACCCACAGAGGCCCTGAAAACATCCATTTTCTTTTTCTGCTTTCTTTATTTTCATCTCACTCTCATTTTCTATGAGTTTTGATCTAACTACTAGTTTACTCAGGTGTAATTGGTTCTTTGTATATTTCAAGAAAGTGAAATCTCAAATTCTTTCAATGGATTTTAATAATCCCACGGGGATTTAACCAAAGAACTTTGCTTCCAGTGGACACATTTCCAAAAAGAAAATTCATTGATATATGTCATTGCTAGGTGGTTTAATTTGGAAATTGGACTGCAATTCTTTTACATAGTCTGCCTGGAGAATATGTATTACCCTCACTTCTAGAATCTAGTGGTGTTTAAGGTCAATTCTCAATGAATGAAGAATTGATTCAGGAGAATTTGGTGTGAATGGAAGTGGCCAACTTCTGACACCTCAAGAGTCAATGCATGAGTTTCCTGTGGTGGTCAAAACCACTAGAAAAAGAGATAGGGATTGATAGTTAATTAGGGAGAGGTGTAAAGTTTTCCAAGACAAAATGCATACATACACCACAAACTCAAACTGATTCTCCTCAACAAGCTCCCTGGGAGGGCCGGCCCTTGGGGCAGTTGGGCCCAATTGAAGTCTGAAACTGGGCACTTGTATTTGACACAGAAATGTCAGCCAGAGATCCAAGTTGTGCAAGAAAGGTGACCCTCCATGACAACCGAATGCACATCCAAGTCTGTTGTGATGACTTTTTTTCTTGATGACTCCTTGGGATGTGAGGATTTGCCATACATATCCTTGGCCGGTGGTGGGTGGGTGGATCTGTTGTCTCGTGTTGTCTCCCCCCGGGGTGAGGGTGACTACTACAAATACCTTCCCAACTTCTTCTCCAATTCGTTTTTCCCAACACTTTCTGCGCTTCCCATCGACAACAAGACTCTCATCAAAGACGAACTAGAAAAGAGAAGATGTTTACAGGACGAGCTAGGCTCAGCTTACCAGCAGCTTCCAGTCGACCTCGATCGAGACTCCCACTAACATCCTCCGGCCCCCTCAAGACTTTTCGACCTTACTCCTCCTCCTCATCCGATCGTGATCTCCTGGCTGGACCTGTTAACTTCGCATTGAGTGCTGACCAACAAGCTTATCAAGGTATCTAAAATTCGTTGCTTACCACTACAGAAACCCCCAAAGGTTCTAATGGTTTGTTTTATTTCTCTTGATTGTTAACAATATCAGATCTGGCGAGGAGGTTTACCGTCGATCATGTGATTCCAGTGGCCGCTGAATATGACCGAACCATGGTAAGCAGTTTAGAATTCCCCTCCACCTCAACGTTCTTCTTTTTTTTATCTATCGGAGTCTGATGGTCGATGAAATAAAACACAGGAATATCCATGGCCAGTCTTGAAAGAGGCATGGAAAGCCGGCCTATTGAACACCCACGTACCGGAAGAATATGGAGGGATTGGGATCGGCTTACTAGAGTCAGCGCTGATCTCGGAAGAGATAGCATACGGATGCACGGGGATCCAGACGGCATTCGAAGCGAGTGGGCTAGCGCAGGCGCCACTGATTGTCGCAGGGAGCGACGAGCTGAAGCGGAAGTATCTGAGCATGTTGATCGAAGAGCCTCTAGTGGCGGCCTATTGCGTCACCGAACCAGGCGCCGGCAGCGATGTGGCCGGGATCAAAACGCAGGCCGTCAAGACCGGGAACGATTTCGTTCTCAATGGGTCCAAGATGTGGATCACCAATGGCGGCAAAGCTTCCTGGTACTTCGTCCTCGCTAAAACCGACCCCGAAGCTCCCGTACATAAGTCCATGTCCGGGTTCATTGTCGATGCTAATTCGCCAGGGGTTCTTGTCGGAAAGAAGGAGATTAACATGGGCCAAAGGTGTTCGGATACTCGTCAAATAACCGTCAGTTGAATCTCTCTCTCTCCCTCCATCTCTCTGATGTCCAGATGATCCGTCAAAGTATACTAATGAGCAAAACCACACAAACCAGTTCGAAGATGTGGTTGTGCCCTCTTCGAACCTCGTCGGTGCGATGGGCGAGGGCTTCAAAGTCGCCATGGCCGCCTTCGACATCACGCGACCTTTGGTAGCCAGTGGGGCTGTTGGATTAGCTCAACGTGCTCTGTCTGAAGCCGTCAAATACGCTCAGACTCGGAAAACGATGGGCAAACCGATCATCGAGCATCAATCGGTCAGCCATATGTTGGCTGAAATGACCATGTGAGTCGTTGTTTAATTCCCCCAAAAGATAGACGTTTAGTAACTGACTAAATCGTATTAATGGGTTCTTCATCCAGAGGGGTCGAAGCGGCTCGAGCGATGGTATGGAAATCCACATTCATCAAGGACACAGGTCATCGTAACAGTTGAGTTGTTTTACATTACTGCAGGTAATGCACGCAGGTAACCGTCTTGGGGAACTAATCAGATCCTATTGTGTGTTTTGGTTTTTTTTTCTCAGCCTATTATGCCTCGATTGCCAAATGCTTATCGTCAGAAGTAGCCGTCCGCAATGCAGGAATGGCCGTCCAAATCTTTGGTGGAGCTGGCTTTAATACCGAATGTCAGTCTTTCTCTTCAATTTTTTTTTCTCTTATTCTTCTGCTTGATCACCATCGACTTACATATCCCCGCTTCCACTTTGTTTTCTTTGGTTAAATGTGACTTGCAGATCCGGTAGAGAAGCTGTACAGAGATAGTAAGATCTTTACTTTGTATGAAGGAACCTCTCAAATCCAACGATTGATTATCTCGAAAGTACGTGATCTTTTTATTACCCTATAGGATCGCATGTATTTGGGCATCAGATTTTGATGGTCTGGAAACTGATGATCACTTTTCTCGACTCAAACGGGATATCGTTTTTTTTTCCCTCATACACAGTTTTTGCCGACTATGTACCCAGTTTGAAGTTGCTCATATTCACATGTAAATCAGAAAAGATGGACTAGAAGACCACGTTTGTATCGTTAATCTTTTGTACAACTTCACAGCAAAAATCGCAACAAATCATTTTCCTTCCTGCAACACTGTTTTCCTTTATTCGTGTGTGTGTGTGTGTGTTTTTCGCGAGGGCCAAGCCTATACTCTTGTATTTTTTTGTGTTTGTATTTTTTTCTCATGAAAGTTGTTATTGAAGTTGTGAGAAGATGTATTTCGAGCAACACTTTTTGAAGTGAAGACTATTGTTTTTTGTGCTCTTCGAGTTCGTTCTCTTTTGTTGTAAATTGAAGTCATTGCTGCATGTTGATCAAGTGTGAGTGTTTTTATGGTGGCAGTGATGGTGATTGAGGGAGGTGAGGGTTCAGCTGGGTTTTGCTGGCCAGATCTGTCGAAGGCAACCACCACCCTGAAAACATATCAAGCACACTTCACCCTACTAGTTCAGCTCGCATGCGTCGCCATCATCACTTCGACAACAACAACAATCTTCATCAGAGCCAGGAACCAACAGCAATCGAGCATACCAAGAAGCCTCCAGGATTCCACGACTACCCCATCCATCATCCTCATCATCAAGTGATATGGTCCAGCCTCCAACGCGTCTCAAATGGCTTCCTAGACTCCCTTCGGATCAGTCGCATCGTCAGTCAATTGCAATCTAACCGGGCACTCAGGGTGAGCTCTTTCTCTCTTTTTTTGGGGGGGCAGGTTCTGGCTTCCAGACTGGAGATCAGCTCATCTCCCATCTTCGTCAGTCTTTGATAGTCCAAAACTCGGCCCTCCAACTGCTTTGTATCGCTAGCCTGGTCGCACTCGAGGCCTATGCCGATAGCCATCGCTCCTCCTCTAATATCCGGTCCACTCTGGATATTTTGTTCAATGTAAGTGAGTATTTGTCGAATTCGAAAGTCAAGAGTAATACCAGATATAAAGTGATGTTGATTTGCTTGTTTTGTTTCTGTGGATATATGTATTTTTAGATATTCTGGTTATTTCCGATCGGAATGATTTCGATTGCCATGAACGGTACGATCACCGAAAGCTGTTTACATTCGAAGCATAGGACCCAAGAAGTCTCGAGGATAGTCCTGCCAGCGTTTACGATTGCCTCATGGCTAGAAATCGTCGACTATCTGAAGACGAAACTTCGCTCGGATTACCCGCGGATCTTGATCCTCTTGAACTATCTCTTGATGGCCAAGGGACTCCTGTGGGTCCCTTTCGTCGGCTTCCCGCTCAGCTTCACTTTCTCCTCCATCGGCAATTCGTTCTATTGTTTCGAGCCTTATTGGCTTAAAGATGGTCTCAAGTTCGAAGAACGATTAAACTTGTACGTTTTTTTTTTTCAACTCACAAAGTCAAAACATACTTGAGATAGAAAAGAAAATTCTAATTATAATCCATATTTTTGAATCACTTTCAGATTGGAACAACAGTGGGATTATCACTTAGGATTCGGCCTAATAATGACCACATTAACCTCGATCTGGCCGCACCACAACATCCTAAACCTATCCCTATTTACCCTCCTATTTCCATTCCTCTTGATCATCCTATCCGTCGGACAAAAGCCCCTACACAGACCAACATCAGCAGCAGCAGCAGCAACAGAGCACAAGAAAGAAGACGGCCGATCGGGTCATAACTCTCATCCAATCCAACTCCCCCTACTCTTTATCTCTCGAAAACTTCATCTGATATTCTTTAGTCATCATCCTAATAACAACTCTCACCTTCATCATCCTTCTGTTCATGACGGCCATGTGCTGATCGAAGATGGAGGAGATCATTTATAATCAGATCAACCATCTTCCTTGTCCTTCTTTTGTTAATATTCTTCGACCTTTGAATCATTTTGGTTTCTTCTTAAAATCTCATCTTTTCTTTTTCTGCATGTTCTTGTGGCATGTACTCCCCTTCGTATCTTCTTCACTATTAGATCTCTGCACAAACCAACTCCCCTGTCACTTTTTGTTTTCTTCTTCTTTCTTTTTTCACATGAATTAAATAGATTTACTGATTATTAACCCATTTATCTCTTTTATAAATAAATAGAGACAATTATCTTATGCACCTATTTTGAAGGAGCTTTGCATGTTCTTTGTAATACACAATACAAAATTGTCAATGGGAAGAGCAAAGTTTGACAAGGCCTCCTTTGTTGTGGTGCAAATATTAAAATGAAAACTGAATCCAGAACTGGTATTTGTGGCTTCTCTACATGACAGTTGAGAAAAGCCCATCATTTTACAAAAGCTGATAATTTCTGGTTGGAGCCATACTGCTTGAGATGATCATTTTCTATGTGGTGGGTGCTGTGGGTACATACATATACAAGAAGAAATTGAGACCTCAAGAGGATCTGCAGTAGGGCTGCAACTGGGCAGTGGGTGCCAGCTTCACTTTGATACAGAGCTCACTTGCACAATCCTGAATGACGTGAATCCACATTCTACGGTGAAGACAAGGCTTGTCTCCCCTAGCTTGACAACAAGCCCCTCGATTGGTCGGGCCAGGTCGTGCTTGGATGGCGCAAAGCAAGCCTCCCAATAAAGAGGGCTATGTAGCTCAGGCATATCTCAAGCTTGAGCGTGGAAATTGGTCAGTTGAGATGAGCGCAGTGTTATGTATGAACACAGTGAAATCCTTCACCAAATTAGGAAGCATGGTGGAATTGTCATCTATGTTCAACAAAGCTTCAACTTGCAAGGCAAAAAAAAAATCGCATCAGTAGGAATCAAAACAGTTACGCTATGTCCCCCAAGCCTTCAAGCAGCTTTGGCTTCAAAGTTCAAAGTCTTGCAGACGAAGGAGGGTACCAAAGTTATGCATGCCTTCCTCACGGTAGGCCCACTGTGAAAGACCTCCACTGGATGCATGGAACAAGGAGAACAAGGGAAAGGCTAGCTCAATGCTCTGAAGATACTGGAACACATGTGGCTTCAAATTCTTCTCTCCTAAGCACCCTCATATCCATCCGTACAAACTAGGAATCAAAGGAGGTATGCATATTCTATGTATACAAATGGATCTAATTTCAATGGAGACAATTGAGCGACTGATTTGATTTCCTTTCAGCTATTTACTCAGCCATTGGATGACTTCCAGTCACAATCTAGAACCCTCCCAGAATCCAATTTACGCCCCCTAGATCTTAATTTTTGGCCCCAAAAAATATTTTTTTGCAAGCCTTGTAGAAACCAGTCTCATGTGAGATGGTTGAAATTACGAGTGGGGTGTTAATTTAGGACTTGGGAGGGCTTAAAAAGTACTCTAAATGGCGACGGGAAGTCCTCCATTCAACACACTCATTTGAAGCACCACTCTTGCAGCCTTGCTCTTGCCCTCATCCTTCTGTTTGGCATTCTCCCATTACTAAGGATGCCATCCTGATCACAGCTCAACTTCACCACAAAATCTCTGTCTCAACTTCCAGCCGTGATCAAAAGGCTCATTGACAAACAGACAGAACTTGTGAAAGAGAACAGGTACTATGAGGGTCATAAATTCTTGGAACTTGGATTTGTAGATCAAAGCTTTCATGAGCTTTGTAGTCTGGTCAATTGGAAGGTATGTTTTCCTTATTGTTATTACATTCCTTCTTGCGTATTCGCAAGTGTTCCAATGAATCTGGAAGGAGAGGCCAATCCAATTCCTGGAGTCTTACGGGCTCTGGGAAGAGATGTTTGTCTGGTTACAAATTGCAATGAATACATACTTTTTACATCTTGTATGTTGAGTGTCAACTCCCGTCTCTTAGGTGACTAGGGGTTGATGGGTTGATTGGGTCACACTATGATTGTTTACACAAGGTAGTGGAAAAGGGTCACACTCTAGTTGGATAACCAACTTAGTGGAATTAGCTGCTTCAGTATACTATAGTATTAGAAGAGCTGCTCCTTACAATTATAAGGGGCAACAGCTGATTAATTACGCTGCGCCAGGCTTATGAGAAGAGAAAGGATTGGTACTAGTCTAGTTAATAAGTTAACTGTAACGGACTAGTACAATTTAGAGGGAATAGAAATAATATGTAATGTAATATTAGACTAGATTAATAACCCCACTCACTTATTGTACTGCTGTAAAATAGGTAAGTCTAACGGGTTTGTATGGTAATCTCTGGGGGAAGGAATCCTAGAGGGAAATCCTTCCTCCTTAAGTATTACAGAGCAGAGGTCATTCTGCTTGTAGGACCGGTACAGTCCCCATAAGGTTATATTCTCTCATTGGGGAGAAATGTCAAGATATTCTAAGAAGATTAAAGTACATGTGAGGAAAATCTCTCTTATTTCAGAAGATACACACAAGAGAATTTACAAGAGAGATACACAGGATAAATCTCTTTGATAATCATAAGAGATAATTATCCTTTTCAATCTGAGTATAACTTTCAGGAAATGGGTAAATTAATAAAGAGGTAAATCTTTATTGATTTATTAAATATTTATTAACATAAATAATACATATAAAAGAGAATAACATTACTGTATACTTATTAACTTAAGAATTAAATATAATAATATTTATTATGTAACCCAAGGGGGTTACATTCTATTGTAGACACCTGGGCTAGTGTCTCAGTGTCTGACATTGAGGGTTTGACCACCCTGGTTGTAAAGCAGCCTGAATGTCCACTTTGGCAGAGGGATTCTTTCAATAATCACAAACCCAAATCAAGCAAAAAATTGAAAAAAGTCCAATGTGCCCCAGGGCCTCCATACAAGATGCTTCAAGCAAAGAGTCCTTGGTCAAATTAATTGGAAAGATGATGCATTGATGCATCTACTTTAAATTTGTGTGAATTTTTTTGAGGCCTCTTTTCCCACTTGAAATTTCTGTAAGTGCCCAAAATCCATTCAACCATCTGAATTGCCACTTGGTGTTCATCTGTCTCCACTACCATCACTCAAAGTCATTGTATTCTCCCATACCAATTGCTTCAATTTGGACTGGAGCAAACTCAATTAAAAAGGTTTGCTTGAAGAATTAACAAAGAACCATTGCCTCAAGGTTTCTTTATGTGACTTTTTCAAATAGTCTGTTCAAGCTTTCCCTATACTGGGTTCTGGTCAGCACCCCAGAGGCTCAGATGACAGTACTATCCCCAAATTCCTGCCCAAATCAGAGCAAAAAACACTATTTTGTCTGTCAAAGCTGCAGATATTAGCAATGTAAAAATTTTATTCAGCCAAATTCCTCAAATTATTCCAAGAGTCGTTTAACATCAATGATTGATCACATCAGTTTGATGACACTATTTGCTTAAAAAAACTAAAAAAAAACTCATGGATCACAAGGATCCAGTTTGGAAATTGAAATTATTCAAGCCATGTGAACAAAAGGGATATTTTGAGCCTGGTGAATTGTCCTGAGGAAATTTTACAATTTTGCATGGTAGTACCATGACAAAGCCAGTTGCAATGTTGCAGATGGCTTTTGGGGGAACAAGAGGCACTGGAATTGGGCAAATGGAGGTTTGCAGAGGAGATAGAGGAAAGGGAAAAAACCCTTAATAAAAATTTAATTATCAGAGGGAGACTACGAATAGTACCAGTAGAATAATATTTTCAAATAGAAATGAATTTGTAAAAGTCAAGAACAAATCAAGCCAGCTCTGATATCAAATGTAGATCTTTGGGAGGAGGAATTTTTGTTACCTTTTTCCTTTTAACTTTTTCTTTTTTATTTGTTGGCTGAGATGATTTGTAGAATGAATAATTTACTAAAAAGATTATTTTGGAGTCACCTACCCAAACATGGACAACAAAAGAAGCAAAAGCTGGAGGTAAGGAATAGGATTCCTAAATCTTAATTTATTGATGCTAGCGGAAAATATTGAAATTGGAGAAATGTAAGCATGAGCCAGAATCCATTTTCTTACTTAAATGCTGAGTATGTAGTATGTACCAAAAAATGAAATTAGAAAACAATCTTTCTGCTGTAGATTAAAGATTAGAGAAAGATTAGAGAAAGAATAAAATGAGCAAGAATCAAATTTTCCCCTACATTGCCCACTCCTTCCTTAATGCACCAGCTCCTCATTCCAGTTTGAGGTACTGCCAGGTGTCGCAAAGCGAGGCTCTTCTGCGAGGCAGCCCCGCAGTTCCGAGCACACCCCGCCCCCCTGGAATGAGGGGATCGGGTTGAATTGCGTTGCATGAAGCCCCGTGGTATAGGAGGGTACTCGGGTGGTCCCCAGGGCTGAACAACTGATCGATCACCCGAGCCTGCAGATCTTGGCGCTATGAACCTCAGTTAACCATTCACATCATCTTCCTCCAAAATACATATTCATTCGATGGAAATCGACCATCAGCAATCTACTTCGCAAGATACTTCGCCCGTCATCCAGTTGCTAAATCAAGGTGACCAGCTCACCCAACGATTCCAAAAGTCAGACCAAAAAGAATTCTCTTAAATTGAACCCTCTATGATTCCTGCTCAAAAGATGATACTGATTGTTATGATCTTCTTAAATTCTAACGACTTGATTTAAAAAACCGGCGGATTGTGTATTCATGTGGTATGAACCAGACAATTCAACGACTCGATCACACATGTTCAAACCCTGAATTCGTCACTCAAGCAACATGATAACCTGAGCAATCTTGTGGCACGTTCGACGAACGCAGATATCAGCTCGCAATATCCCTCGGTTCGAGAACGTACTTTGGCCACACTGACGAAGACGATAGACGACGCGTCTAGTGGGATCAGGAACTCGTTAGAATTGATGGAATCGACGGTCGATGCACTTTCCGAACTGTTATACAAAGTGGACGTCTATCTGGCTGAACCCGCCTCGATCGGATCAATCGGCTTCGATCCAATCAATGCCTTGAAACATCTCGGAAACCTCTTCTCGGCTTATCAAGCTGAATTGCTTGCTAAAAGAGAGCTCTTCTTCTCCTTCAATTGTGAAGAAATCTCAATCGACGACTTCGTTGGTCAATGGCAAATCTGTCACCAAATCAAATCTCTAACTCAAGAAACTATGGATGATTTGGCTGATGTCATGGGTACTTGGTCTACTTAATACACTCAAAATACACGCATCCCTGGACTTCTTTTCTTCTTTTCTTCCTTTCCTCTCTACCATTTATCTTCAGCAAGCCTGTAGTACCAAAGGATGCATATATTATTTCAGCAGATTTTGTACCATGTGAGAAAGTGTGTAACAAGAAGTCACCAATCTATCAAAAAACTTGACAAGCTTCATATATATAGATTGTTGATGCACCTTTTTTTGGAAAATCAGCCAGATTAAGGGGGTCAACTTTCAAGTCCCCTCTGGGGATTTGGGATGTGACTCCCAAATCCCCTCTGAAAATTTGGAGCATGCCTCCCAGAGATTTTGGGGCCCAAGAAATTTTCTGTCACAATTGCTTCCCGATCGCAGGTAGACAGCCACTCCCATAAGAACACTTTACTGTATTTTCTTTTTCTGAAATTGGTTGTCGGTTACTCCCCCCCCAAAAAAAACCCGATAACCGACTGCACAGTACAACAGAATCAGAGCGTTGTCCGGGCGGGGGCGACATCCGACAATGACACCCCGCCACCGGTTAAATATTTACATCAGATTAAATATGTACCATGTTGGGACATGTTGAGGTTTTTCCCCAAAAAGCGTGCGGAAACTCTTCTTCCGGCAGCGGAATAAGTGGGCCGACGTGCGTCTGTAGTGGGGCTTGGCAAGGCTGCAAGGTTACGGTGGGTTGAGGCAATGTCAAAGGCTGATGGAATGTTGTATGGATGGATATGTGGCACAACCAGCTTGTATATGTACTGCCGGAGGCAGTAAACCGGCCGGATTCATCTGATCACGGCAACAATCAGTTGCAGGGCGATTCAAGACCGACATAAAACGAGTGACTTGGCCGCCGCTAGGTTTTCTAATCCAACTACCTTCATCGCTCTCTCTGTCCTGTTACGCACTACACGCAGAATCAACGAGTCGTTTTAACCTGACCACACCAAGAATGTCCCGTGCAGGCTCATTCCAGATGGCCCACCTCGCCTTGACTCTCATAGTTCTCATTTCATTTCACTCGGGACTGCTTGCAGTGCCTCAAAGATGTGAATCCATATTTGCCCCCCACAGTGGTGATGAATATAGTAAGCAACGAGGACCAGCCAATGATCCCTCTTTTCCTATTCACCTACGTGCTAGACATTAAACAAAATCACAATTATCCACAGCTTGCATGAACCCCCGCGGGGTGCGATTTCTATGTGGTATCAACAGCTGCTTAACGGATGGCCTAAAATGTGAGCCGTCGGTTTTTTTTTTTTTCGAGGGGAGGGGGGCTAGATTCTTGCCAACCGATCAAACATATCATTGATTTTTGTTTTGTTTTTCAATCTCCTCTTCCCTGACACGGTCAAACAATCGATGAGAATCAGGGGCTGATGTTATATTCAAACATTGCCAAAAATATGAACCCGAGAACACTCTAACCGATCATTACGAAGATATACACGTAGGGGAATTCGTGACTGTTGTTTATAAGAAAAGCCAGTTTCTTGGTAAGCTTTTGGATAAAAAAAATTAGATCTAGTGAAAACTATTTTTCTTCAATGCGATTGATTGTAACTTTGATCCTCCGATTGTAGACGCAAAGAAGCTTGGCACTAACACCTGGTTTAGATGCACTTGGTCCAGGCGATCGCCTTTTAACGCACACAGGCCTAGTCAGTCTCTCTCAACATGCATCAAACAAAGAATTAACATACTGATTATCGTACTTTTAAAAATGACTACCCAGCCTGTGGTTCCTGTAGACCTGACCCATGATTTTGCATCCAAGAGACTGAGGAGTGAATTGGCCTGGGTCGGGAAGGGTTCTCAGCGCTATTTGGACGCATTCCCTCCTATCATTCTCATTCACACATCACCAACGGAATCAACAAGATGAGCTACAGCATGTTTTCGTTACAAACCTATTAGATGATAAGGTCTTTCCTCCAACCCACCTCGTGTTTGGCACAATACTGGGGTTTCTTGCTTTGTATGTGGTACAACCGCAGTGCATAGGTATAAGATTGCAATCCAGATGAACAAAGAACACATGAAACATCTTGATGAGCTGCCTAGTGATACAATTTGATCAAAAAATATATATCAAAAATCAGGTTGAAGGGTTCTTGATCACCTTCTAAAACTGTTGAGGAGAGCTTCATCAGGCATCATTTCTCAGGGGTGATAAGTTTGAGCCTGATGACTTATCATGTTGCCTTTGGCGCCTAGGAACTCAGGTAATAGCAACCAACAAGAAGTAATTAAAAATAAAATCCCAATTTTTCTAATTAGAGGAGGTATCATGTTGCCTTTGGCGCCTAGGAACTCAGGTAATAGCAACCAACAAGAAGTAATTAAAAATAAAATCCCAATTTTTCTAATTAGAGGAGGCTACCTTTATCACCACCATAATTATCCACAAATAGCACAAGGTGTAACTACAGCATGATCCCTCCCCACAGAAAGGGCAACTCACATGAAACCAAACAATCTCTTAGATGTCTTCTGCACTATGCTGTGTGTGAGCTTGGCAATGAAAGGGTGGATTTTTTCACATGACATGGGTCAAAGCAGTTCAGAGGCTCAAGTAATTAAATTAACACCTTATTGGACTTGACACTTTAGGGAAACCAGGACCACATCAAGCCCCTAACAGACACCCCAAGAAAAATGTTTCAAATGCATTTGTTTGCAAACATTTTACTCAAAACAATCTGTGAAATTAAAATAATTCATAAGACTTAAAATGTATTTCTTGTTAGATGTAGATAGGAGCCAGGCAACTCCATATATAGGTGCCTAACCAAAATGTAGGGATTTCTTGCCAAAAAAATCAAAATGACACACCAAAGATGTATGAATGGCCTTTTTTCCTAATAGCATCAGGGAAATTTTTTTGGAAATCTTATAGAGGTGCCTTCACTCATCTCTTGCCTAACCTTACTATATCCAACCTTTATCTCATCTGTATCCCCACCTTTGCTAGTATGTATCTTTGCATTATTATTTATTTTCATTTGTCACATGATTCCTCCACAATTAAAGTAATTCCAAATATTTGATTGATTCTCTTTCAAATGAAAAGTAGAATCCTTGAAACCTTCAAGATAGACAAAAATCAGATCACAATATTAATCTTCATCCATTCAAATGCATTACAGAATAACAAACCAAAAGAATCTCAAAAATAAATGAATTGAATACCTATCCTATCAACATATTATTTGATTCAATGCTGAGTAAGAATTCTAATGAGAATATACATATAAATCCTCCTTCATGAATCAATTAATCTTTGTTAAAAAATTTATTCTTGTTTTACCCCTGTTTTATGGAGATTCATACTCTGTCCTCCCCTGTACTTGCTGTTCCATTCTCAATCCTCTAAACCCCTAGGTGTATGTGCATATTTAATTTTATATATTTTGAATCATCTTGATAAGGATCAGAGAATTCAAATTTTTATATCTGGGAGAATCCAGATGATGTGAAATTTTGACATATTGATATTACTAGAGATGTCCCAACACATCCAGATATCCGGCTGCTTTTTCAGGGGAATTAGCCATCCGGAACCGCATCTGCATCTGCTGACGGGTATCCCTACGCCTTAGTGGGTATCTTTGGCTATCTGCCCCTTAAACCAAGGGTGGTTGGAGGGGGCAGCCATTGATTGACCAGAAGTTCTTCCTTCCAGTTGACAAGGTACCTGTACCTCATCGGCCAGAAGGAAAACCTTACGGTCGACAATGTGGTACATGTGCCTTGTCAACTGGAAGGAAACCCTTCCAGTCAATGAGGCACATGTACCTCCTTGGCCAGAAGGAAGACCTTCCAGTCGACAAGGCACATGTACCTTGTTGACTGGAAGGAAACACTTCCAGTCGATGAGGCACATGAGCCTCATTGGCCAAAGGAAGACCTTCAAGTCAACGAGGTTGTGCATTGTTGGCCTTGAGATGGTACAGTCTCCGGACCAAGAGGAACCCCTCTTGGCCTTGAGATGGTAAAGTCTCCAGGCCAAGAGGAACAAGATGGTACAGTCTCCATCCTGAGAGGAACCCCGCTTGGCCTTGAGACTGTGCAAGGTCTCAAGGCCAAGAGGCCTCTGACAGGTATCCCTGGAGATACCCGGATACACGCCAAGATTCCAACGACAATTGGGCATCCACATCCAAATGCAAATCCCCGGGTGGGTATCCGCAATGGATACCCTGAGGCCATCTCTAGATATTACCAATAACTTACAAATTTCAGAAATACTTATGATAATTCATGAAGGTCAATTTTAGTCAAAAATAAAATTAGTCTTCATGCAATTTGGCTTTATTGATGAAGAAATGTGGTATTGATATAATTTTTATATTTTCATTATGGATGACTGTTCCCTTCCAAAAACAATCCCCATTAGCCAGTTTTTTTCTCAATCTAAATTATCATGCCCAGATAAATGGAAACTACAATATTACATGAGTGCTTGATCCCTTCTCAAGGCTCATCTCATCTACTTCTAGAATTTGAATATAATAAAGCTGTGGTGTGTTGGTCCAGCATGTTTGATAATAATCAAACATCCAACCCATTCAAATCAGCAACAATTCTAATTTCTATTCTCATTAAAAAATCACAAAAAAATTGCATCTACAATCCCCAGCAATACATAATTATACTCAACTCAATGGCCTAAATTTATGAAATTATATTTTGTTCCATCTCCTTTGTAGAATAATTTGTTTTTACACTTGGTTGTTTCCAAGAATTGTGTTTCAAACAGAATCTTGATGCTCATTATCCTTCTTCTCCCAATTCATAATGGAGTGTGTCATCAGCATTCCAGAAAGTAATTAAATATTTGAAGTCAAACATCATAAATATTTCTCATTTTCTCCTCATCATCACTGGGCAATGAAGTAAGACTGTAAATGCAAATTTTCCAACTTCTACATCCTCAGGATTGTTGCCTAAAATCCCTGGCTTGAATTGGTTCTTTGGAAGTTTTTACATTTTGAGGAAAGATATTTCCAGGAATTGAGCTAAGACTCAGGCTATGATATCAGTAAAAATCATGAGCTTAACTCTCTTCCAGTTGCAAAAAGTGGGCAAGGAAATTGGATTTTTATACTGTGATTTAATCAATCATTTTTTCAATTAATTATTTATGAACAGTTTCTGAGTTCAAGTTTGCTTAAAATTATTTCACAGACATTCTATTACTTCTTTTATTGGTATCTGATACACCATCTCATGATTAGCTCCTGTTTTTTTTTTTTTTTTTTTTTTTTTTCAAACACAAATGGTTATGTAAATTTACTCCAGTCTGATTGGTATTGGTAGCTGTCACTGGTGGATTGTGATGCATGACAAGGAAATACATCAATACCAATTATCCAAATTTGATATGATCCACACCTGCATTCCTGTAATATTGGTTCTCTATCCTTTGGTCAATCCAAGATAAAGCTAAGGATAAAACTCTCTTAATAGTCAAGCCTTTCATCAATTTTTTATTTTTTATTTTTTTCAAAAGCCAAAAAGTTAGCATGGATGTGATTTTCAGTCAGGAAACAGAAGTCAAAATTCCATTTTCTCACTATAATTATTCATGCAGCTGTACAACATCTCTATTGGCAAAATCTGGAAGAGGAAACATACTGATCTTACATATACACACATTGGATCAATACAGGCTTAGGTATTTTTTGGATCAGCAAGAGGGCCTGGTATCATTACCTGCATGAAGAAATAAAGCTTTATTTTTCCAAGAAGCAGATAAGGAGAATATTTCTTTCCCTCCTATGCTTTTTCAAATACAGATGCATTGGTCTGGAGGAGAATGGGATCAGAGGCATTTTGTTAAAATTAAGACCACCAGTCTTATTTCTGAATGTCTGGAAGTGTTTTATTTTTAATTGCCAGTATGTAAGCAATTAAGCCCACCGGTCTTATTATTAATCTGTTTGGATTCAAATTCCCCATCTGCTCTTGTTGCTTGATTGAACTGCTTTATGAGTGCAAAAGTGATGGGACAAGGGAAAGATTTCTCTTTTTCTGATTTGATGGACATCAAGGATCTGATTTGAGGCAAGAGGAAGTAAAAATCTTGGCCTTCATCTCCTGCTAGGACTGATTAATCTAAAATCTTTGGGGGGAGAGGGACTATTTTTTGCTCCCTTAACCGCTAGAAAATGCATTTTTTTTATCAGAAGATATTCCAGGATCAGTGAAACTTCTCACTTATGAATGTAAAAACCATCAGACATACACACTTTTTTTAACCAAGCAAAGTTGAAGATTCTGCCCTCCTGATTCTTAGCCCTTTGAAGATGCTCTCAGAAATGTTTTTTTTTTTTTTCATTTTTTCAATGCTACTTTGGATGACTCCATGCATGCATTAACATCTGAAAAAATTGTGTAAGAGCCTTCTATCCCGTATTCAGAATTCCAGACATTATGGCTGATTTCAAAGCCCAAATGAGTCTACATAAAGTTTGGTTGATGTTGTGTAAGTTTGTGTTGAGAAACCTCACTCATATATAAATTGGTGCACCGGAATTCACAATAAAGTGAAGCAATTAATCTTGACTCAGCTCAACAAGGTCTAAGCACCTTTCTGACATAGGCTTTTTCCTGTTTTGATGAGGAGAAGTGATGTGATTGTTTGACAAAGAAAAAAAAAATCATATTTCAGATGATTAATACGTTGATAGAAATCTAATCCGCTCAACCGATGCGGATGCTCTTACATTTTTCTTTTTCTGTGACATACTGATGTCGACTCTATCAATGTGATTTCTCTGTTCCAAAATTTGGGGGTGTGTCACTAATGGTACATACTACAAAGTCACCTGCAGGCTGGGGGTACCTTTATTAAGACTGTCATAAGCTTTGATGAAATTTTCTTTATTCAAGACCTGATTGTTCTTTTCTAGGAGTAGTATTCAGACTTCAGAGAAAATTTTGTGAAATTTTGTGTTGAAGCTCGGAATACTTCGGGGAAAGGATCACCATAATTCCCATGGCACATCTCGCAAGGCTGGCCTCGCCGTTATAAGGCTGATGTCGCGCAAAAATGACACCCTTCCAGGTAGTTTCAGACACTCTGGTTTCAGGCAATTGTACAAGCCCAATGCAGCTGCACGGCTGAGCCATCCGCACATTCTAGTATTGGTAGATCAGCAGTATAAATAACTAAGCTCATCAGAAATGCGGAATGATGTATTATGAAAGGACCGCTCGACAAACTGCGCAGCTTGAAAATATCTTCACGACGTCTCTGGTTGAGGCTGATGAGGGATGTGGGAGGTAGATCTATCATGTGTAATATAATCATGTTAGTCCAGCATACGATAAGGTAATACATCCTTGTTTTCTTGGTCTCATTTTTTTTTGTTCGAACATAATTGGAAATAATGTCTGGTTTAGCAATCGTCATGAGGATCACCCCCACCTCGTTCTTCCTTTGGAACTACAATTCGGCTAAAGATCCAACATGTACATCAGTTACGGCTGTCTGAACAGTAAAGACAGGCATTTTCAGAGAGGATTAAGAGGAGAAACTTACTCATCAATCCTTAATAGAGCAGTGCAAGCCTCCAAAGCACTTTTGAGCATCCTAATTTTGCTCATCATCGGCTCAATGACACCCAACTTGACATTGTCAACCACTTTGCCTTCATACAAATTCAGTCCGAAATACTTCAACTGCTTTTTCGGGTCTCCCTTCGGGCAAGTTTGAGACAGGTTGTGGAACGCCCGAAGCTTGGCAACAAGGTCTGTCGAGTCTTTCGCTGCATTTGTGGCGAGTGTCTTGGGAATTACCAGCATAGATGCGGCAAACTCGGCAATCGCAAGCTGCTCTCGGGATCCCTGTAGGACATGCAATTTTAAAACGATTAGAAGGATCAGACTTAAACTCTCTTCGCTTGCAAAAAAGGCAAAAACCAAAAACAAACCAAGGTTGTTGCAAAGTTCTCCAGATATATGCTTAAAGCAGCTTCTACTGCACCACCGCCCGGAACCACTTTGCCACTCTCCAGCGTCCTTTTAATAACGCATAGTGAGTCGTGTAAAGCACGCTCCATCTCATCCAGCATGTAATCTGATAGGAAAATGGTCAATAAACGCGCCCTGGTCCTTGTATGAGATGTGGTTGTCAAGGCGTTACGTACCATTTGCACCTCTGAGAATGACAGATGCAGAGCTATGGAGTTTTGTCCCCTTGATCAAAATCAGTTCATCGTCACTGATCCTCTCTTGGACGACCTCCTCACAAGCTCCCAAATCCAAAGGATTGAAAGCTTCATCTCCATCCAGGGTAGCAAGTGAGCTGACGAGGTTACCCCCAGTGCAACGAGCGATCCTGCGTAAGTCTTCCTTCTTGCATCGCCTGACTGCCATCGCACCAGCTTCGACAAATTCTTTCAAACACAAATCATCGATACCACCAGTAGTCAAGATCACGTTCGCTCCTGATTTGAGAATCATTCGAACTTTCTCAAGTGTAATTTCGGATTCCCTGCAATGAAAATTTTCAGTGCGTGAAATAAAAGGGTCAAAGCTGAAAAAAAAAGTGAAAATGCAAGCTCACCGGCGTCGGATCTGCTCTAACTCCTCAGGATCATCGATAGTAATGTGAACGCCTAGATGCATGCGAGTTTTTTGCAGATTCATATCCAACAAAGCGATTTTGGCTGGCGAGACACCTTTCTTCATAGCTATGAAGCGAAATTTTGAGCAAGGCATGTGAGACCGAGGGAAACATTTTCAAATCCAATGAAGGGAATAATACCTTGACTTGCGACGGTACAGTTCAAAGCGTAACCCTTGACGTAGATCGATTCTAATGCACTCTTCCCATGCGCCTTGAGGATGTTGACTGCCTTCACTGGGTATTTGATCTCACCACGAGGATTAATGGTCTTGACAGCAAGCATTGCATCCACCGCAAGCTGAGCAAAAAAGTCATCATCGCTAACGAGAAAATGAGAATAGGAATATGGCATGTAAGCTGACTATCACTAATTCTGTTTTGATCAATAGTTGTTTCACAATGTAACGAAGTGTAAAAAAACGTACGATCCAATGATTTTGCTGGACATACTCGTCTTAGCAATGTTGATTAGACAGTCCTTTCCAAGGGTATCGACCTTGATGGCTAGTTGATCTTGAATGTGCTTGATGGCTTCTTTGCAGGCTAGACGGTAACCATTGATGATGGTGGTTGGATGAATTTTATTTTTGATCAGGTCGTTTGCCCTCTTGAGTAGCTCTGCCGCGATGATGACTACTGAGGTGGTTCCATCGCCAACTTCCTTATCTTGCTGTTGCGCGAGTTCTACCAATATCCGACCGGCTGGATGATCGACTTCTAGGAGGGAAAGAATAGTCGCGCCTATAGAAAGGAATGATAGAGCAGATGCGGTCAAGATTTTGAAAAAAAAAATGGATGTTCGCGGACTACTCACCATCATTGGTGATGGTCATGTCACCGATATCGTCGACCATCACTGGAAAAATGAAATAAAGATGAAAAGAACAAGATATTAGGGAGCAATAATTCCAACGGCCGCGAAAGACTGATGAAATCCATTACTTTTGTCGAGTCCAACAGGTCCTAAACTCGATTTGAGTACGTGGGCAACGGACATGACGGCGGTAACGTTTTCTTGTCGGACATCAGCACCGGTGGTCCTCTGGCCGCCACCTAGATTAAGTGAGTCATGCCACGGTTAGCACTGTTCAGTCAAGGCGATCAAAACATATGGAAACTTGAACAACTGATGAAATGGAACTTGAACTTGCCCAGCATCATGCTCGTTCGGGGATCCTTGGCGAAAAAAGCCATCGTGAGGAAGGATTAAAAGTAAGACTCGGAAACAATCGACCCCTTTTTCTTTGAAGCTGAACGGATGGCAACGAGAGATGACCGAATGTTTGAATGTATGTATGGGAATAAGTAATTGGCACAGCAAGACTTCGATCGGGTGATCGGTCAACTGGCCTCACTCATCCGAGAGGGTGGCTCCGCCGTATTGAATATGCATGTTGCATAGGCCTGCTGCGCACGGCCCAGCCTCGGCATCAAGACCGGCCAGATATGTAATACGCCGAGGCGCTTGATCGCCGCCGGCCATTCTCTTGATCACCCGTGTGGAAATCACATCCATACGGCACGGTCCGGACTCATCAGGCCCGAACAAACCTATCAGCCGAGGGGACCACTGTACTTCCGAAGATCTGCCTTATGATTCCAGGCCCCTAGGGCCCAAAGCTTTGACTGCTGCATTCTCGACACAAGTTCCACATTGAACGGGGGGTGGGGCTTCCGATCCGTGCAAGACCTTTTGGAAAACTTGGGAACACTAGAGTCCTCCACAATTATTCCCCTGCAATTTCCTTCGTATACATATTTGTGACAGTAAGTGTTCCAATAGGCCCAGTCAGATTGCAGAAATTCTAACACCTCAGCGTTGGGGTGATGTGAGTGCACTCTAGTACCTAATCAGAGAAAGACTTGATCGCCATTCAGGATCACATTTCATAAAGAGCCTCTGGCGGACCAGCATGCCAATGATGAGATACCAAGCACACTGCTTCCTATTCGTTTATGCAGCAATTATTGCAGCATCCGGCGCGCTCGATGATATGTTCAATGGTCATCATTTTCAGTCATTAGGATTTGGCGAGCAACACACTGCCCTGGACGACCTCCAGCATTCGATTTCCACTCTCCCTCCCGATCAGCTGAATCAGCCGGATGACCCTTCGAGATACTCGTCCAGCTCAAACAGCCAACCGAGCTTCTTCGACGCCTCCGACGATTTCCTGCAAACGGAATTCCTACCGCATGACCCTTTCGAGACAGCCTGGCCCCCATCACCGGGGTCTATTGACCAACATCAGGCTTGGAGGACCGAATTTGGTCACAGTGAACCCTCGACTCACTCTCCTCAACCTATTGATCACTTAAATGAGGAACCCAGCTTCTTGTTCTCCTCGATACCCCCGCCAAAAGTCAAACCTATCTCATCCGAGTCAGTCGCAGGGACAAACATATCCTCAAGAAAAGAAACTCTTGACTCAAGCCAACTATCTATGAAAGCTAGCAAGCAATTCAAGAAAACAAGCCAACAGTCCCAGATCACAGTAAGCCAGCGATCTACCAAGTCAAGTCTGAAATTCACGAAATCAAAGCAACCAACGCCCGGAACAAGAAAAACATACTTACCTAGCGACGCTATCGAGACTGCCAGAATCAAAATTGATAGAGTTATGAAAAGAAGAAAGCTGAATGATTCAGAAGATGAGAGAAATATCCCGCTTTTGGTTAGTCAAATTTACCAAGCGGTAGGTGTGCAGACTGAAAAAGACGGCTTGCCAAGATTCGAATTTGATCAGGATGCATTCTGTGATGCCCAAAAAGACGAAAGACTAGAGACGCATGTTTTGGCTCCAATTTTCCAGTCCCAGTATACGTTCGAAAGCACGAGGATAGAAGTAGCTGAAATGCATTTCCAACAATTTCTGTTGCGGGTATATACTTCTTGTAAATCCCGCATGAGGGGGCGAAGCTCAGATCTGGTATGGATTGAAAAGATGCGCACATTCACGAAGCATCAAGAGCTGTTGGAGAAGTATTGGTATCGGATCAACCTCAAGTTTTGCACCGAACCCGACCAAATAGTGTTGAACAAATTCCGCGAGATGTTTCCGTTGTACTTATTCTATGTTGAAATGATCAACACTGTCGTACCAAGACCTGCTGGCGAAGAATTGAGTTACGAAGCCGAGTTAATACAAGCCTCTGCAATATACATCAACTACGTACGCAAAATTGACGAATTTTTAATGGACTTCAGTCAGAGATGGCTGCGGTCTAAGGCGGGGATGGAGGAGGAAAAGGCGGAAGCGCGTTACTTGAGAGAGCTGAAAAGAAGGGATGAGAATGCTACCGCAATGAAGAACCATCTTTGGGCCTTTTTGGAAGTTTGGATGGAGAAACAAAGGCCATCATTATTTTACGAAAACTGCACTCACACAGGACTTTTCTTGTACACTGGCAGAGCTTTCTTTAATGATATCTTTATCTACTCTGCGGAAAATTTTGTCCAGTTCATTCAGAAAAATAGTGTTGAAAGACATGTTGGATAGAATCTCAACAAAAGTGTAACTTTCCAGGATTATTTTGCTTGTTCTTTCTCATTTTATCTACCACTTTTCTACCTCCAAACCCAAAAAATAAGCATTCCTAAGACTGCCATAATCATCTTTCATCCATGTCTTTTGCTTTTAGACAACTTTGTTGGATTAAAGAATAAAATTGATTGTATTATACACTGCCAATGTAGTTCTCTTTCCCAACCACAGGATGAGCTGAAAGATCACTTGATCATTCCCTCTTCATTTTTGTCTTCATTTATGGTTTGATTCTCATTCTCCAGAGAAGTTAGTGCGGTGTCAATGACCATCCTGAATGTATTGAGCAATTAATGATATCTGTTACTTGAACAGATTCTCACCTCAAGAGAATTTACAACTCACTCCATTAAAGTACATCAAACACATAACTTCAGCTTTTTAAGACGAGTGAAATGTTTCCCAACATCATAGCCCATCTACCAAAAGGGAACAGCTGTTTCAATGCATTCCATGTGGGAGATTTCTGGTTGATTCTTCAAACGCTATTTTGGATCACATATGTACTGCTTCTGACTCCAGCCTCTCCTAGCCTCTTGTCGTCGGTTGGGCCTTGATCTGTATCCAGTTCTGATTTTGCTTCGATACATCCGCCAATAATGGCATAGGGCTGGGCAAAATTACAGAATGTGTAACCTGCCTCTAACACAGGAGTTGGACGAGCGACTTCCTTTGGCTAGCGGAAGCATCTGACGATTTAAAAACCTGCTCGGGGCAAACCCACACCATAACCACCATGCTCAAGATGGTACATCAAGTATATCAGTTTTATATTATCCTAGCAAGAATCGGCGCGACAAGTGCTGCATTCAATAATTTAATCCATGATCCCTTTGCTCAGCTGCTGGAAGACCGAGCGCAACATGACGTGCTGGGCGATGTCGAGCATTTCGCGACTGGCCTACTGGATCACCAAAAGGACGCCGCACAACACTTATCAAGCTCAAGCGGCCCAAGGAGCTTCTCACACCCCTCTGTTCCTTCTCCGGAATTTAATTTCCAGACAACGTGGCCAACTTTCCCCGAAGCTGATGAGAAACTTTGGCCGTGGCTAAATGAATTTGATCAACTCTTGCCCTCAATGAATATTTTTCCAAAACCTCCAGAGTACTCGACTCAGGACACCAGATATCCATCGAACTATGACAGGCAAATAAGCAATACTGAATCACATGGACAAATCCGCGGCTTGTTTCGCGAGGGAGCTTCCCAATCGATCAGACACCATGAGAATCCAACTGAAAAATTCCAGGGATCCGCAAAGAAACCCCAGCTACCGAGTCAAGAAGTTCAGAGACCAAGCAAAAAATCCTGGGCTTCACGTTTAGAATCCGAGAAAGAAAGCAAAAAAAGAAAGCTAGGTGATTTTGATGATCCCAACAAACTTAACAAAAACCCTGGCCTTCAGATCAAGACCACAGATGATAGGGCTACAAGGGATATATTTCCAACATGGAATTTTGATTGGGATGCGTTTTTTGATTCGAAGGACCCTGCAAGAGGACTGGAAGAACACCCCTCTCGTGAATCTCAAGACTACTCGTCTGCGGTGTCCAGCTTGCCATCCAACTCCAACAACCCGTCAATAGAAAACAATCCATTTAAAACACTCACAGACAGTAGTGTAGTAGTGATTGAAGACCCTCACAAATCAAACGGACGATCTCAGAATCAAATAGAATCTCAGTTCTCAGGAGGTAAACCTGCAAAATTTGGAAAACAGTCTGATCAGTCGATCGTAAAATCACAGAATCTGATCTATCAATCACCAAAATTTGACGAAAGAACCAAGGAAGAGTTCGAAATCTCCCGGAGAGCGGCAATTAAATTTAGTCAGAAATCCGAAAAACGAAAGTTGTTCAATTTCGAAGATCCAGAATGGAGGAAAGAGATGACGAAGAAGATTATGAATGAAGTTCCTGTCTCGGGTCAAAATGACCAGCTACCAAGATTGAGCTTTGATCGGAATGCATTTTTTCTTGAATCTCAAAGTGGAAAATCAACGATACAATTACATGCTTTATCCCCGATGTTTCGCACCATGAAGATACATGAAGGTCAAAAAATGAGCATACCTGAAGCTGAAGTCACACTTTTCTTAAGGCGTTCATACAATCCTCGGTATTACAAGGACGACGAATACCAGGCGTGGAAAGAGAAAGTGCAAATATTTTTGCAGCATCAAGAACTCTGGGCAAAGTATTGGAATCAACTGAAAATGGAGTCTTGTTTCAAGGAAATCGGACACAAGAAACTCAAGGAGATATTTCCACTTTACCTGTTTTACATTTCGATGATTAATTCGATCATACCAAGAGCTGTTGGTCAAGAGTTGAGCGAAGAAGACGAATTGAAATCAGCTGCTCTGACGTTCATCAATTATGCCCAAGGAATCGAGAAGTACGTGAATAATCGCCACACAGCTCAAATAAAGTGGACACTTATGGAAGAAAAACGACTAGACTACTTCCAACGTCTTCTCAGAGAAGATACCAAGGGTAGCAGGGTAAGGATCAATCTTTGGGCATTTCTGGACGTTTGGATGGAAAACAATAGGCCGCTTCTCTTTTCTACAAATCAAACTCTAACCGGAATGTTCACTCAGAAGGGAAGGAAGTTCTTCAACCAGATCTTCATTTCATCCATTGAGAATCTGATCAAATACTATGAAAAATTGAATGCTGAAAGCTTATTGAAAACAAGATGAGATAGCCCATGAAGATTAAATATAGTTGTTCTCATTTTGTTTTATTTTCTCATCTCCTTCTCCATGGATGTTTCTATGGACACAATTTTTTTTAAATTAATTATACTCCGTAATTTGTGAGAATCTCCACCAGGGCAAGCCAAAACACATCTCAACATTCCAAAATGAAACAAATGAAAATGAACAAGCTTCTATTTGAGTGTTAGAAACCTTACAAAAAAATTCAATGAAAACACAACAATCAGAATAACTATTAGAATTTAGATTGAAACTCAGCCAAAACATACTCCAGGTGGTATGGTATCTCATCCCTTCCCCTTGGCTAAAACCCCGGAGGGTTGTGCTACAAGTGTTGGTCAAGTTGTAGGAAATATGAGGTCTTATATTACTTTATAGAAACTTTCAATAAATGCTAATAGTAGTAAAAACAACTACAGAGAGTTCACAAAGATAGAAGAGATCATTAGCAATGAAAAGAGAGTAAAGATAAGAAAAGGTCAAAAAACAACTAGATAAATGAGTGAAAATAGTTGATATTTACCTTCTTATAGTTGGATCCTTGTAAGTACTCTTATAAGACACGACACAATTTGGAGAAATAGACGGAACACAAAAAACAAGCCTGAAAGAAAGAAATAGAGAAGAAATAGAAATAGAAGCAGCTCTGAGATCAGGATCCAGGTCGGCGTCATTGAGAAATGAGAAAAAACTGTTCTACCTCCACCTGTTTTGCGTCCTAGCTCCTCCTGAGTGAGTAGATGGTTCGGATCGAACGTGCAGTTTAGGTGTATGATCGAAAGTGGATTAAGGGATTTGTCGATAGGGTAAGTGATGAGCGGAATCTTCGTCTTGAGGTTGAGGAAAAAAGGATTCGAGTCGCTTGCCGAGTCAGTCGAAGGAAGTACTCGCTTCACTTTGAATTCGTGTGACATCTGATTGACACATTTGAAATTCTCAGACGTCGACCGGATCGGTCAGGATTATTCATCCAACACAAGTTGATTCAATGATTGATTTTTTGATAATTTCTTCTCAACCTGTATATAAGACAGGAATTAATTAGTGAGGAGTCATCACTTTACAACTGATCCTTCCTACACTGCCAAAGGGGTTGTATTGGTTACAACCCCCCGCGGTAAGGTCGGTCGGAGGCGGCCGATAAAGGATCGGTCTCCCCGACCGATTTCATATCGGCCAGGCCCACCGATGCATTTCCCCTTTGTCCTAATGTATCGGGTGGCCCAGCCGATATAGAATCGGTCTCCCGGACTGATTTTACATCGGTGGCCTCTGTTCGACTCTACCGCGGGGGGTTGTAACCGATACAACCCCTTTCGCAGTGCTAGTAAGGGGATATCCATGGTTTTTTGATTTACCTGTTAATGTTTGGTGAGTCAAACACAATATTTACACAATCATTGAATTTTAATAAATGAGTCTGGAGAATAAATTTATAGCTGTAAATGCTCTGAGGATTCATACTCCAATGAAAACCCAGATCAGAATGTAATTTTGATCTCTTATTCTGGAGTATCTATGTACAGCATAATAAAAATTCAACTCAAGTCTGACTGTCTCCCGATCTAAATCACTACGGAACAATGAGTGAAGATGTGCATTATCAAATATTCTAGAGGTGGACCAGGATCCAATGGCAGAGCTAAAAGACAAGAAGAGGAGGCAAGAAAAGAAGGGATTCAAGGGCCACTTGTTCCCAATAGCCATTACAAAATGGAATTCACAGATGCATGCAGAAGAGGACTTCATTTCATGGGTGGGGTAAGTCTACTTTCATAATCATAACCCATATGAATTCTCATGCTCAGTTTAGTATGGTTTGGATTTTACAAAAAGGGATCCTGATAAAACATACCCAAAAGGATTTAATCTACCGGGAATTGAGCACAAGTTGGGCTAACTGTAGTCTGTAGGCCTTCTTTGCCCCTAGGATGAAAAGTTGGTAGCATACGCATTCATAATCTGATACATACAGTAGTTTTAGGAATTCATGGAACTCTGGTTGAAGATTTTCCAAGGAAGGATTTCCCACAACCACCCAAACTTCAGATGCTCAATTTAATTTCAACTTATATCCACCTTAGTGTTTCAAAAAACCCAATGCTAGAAATCTCAATTTGCAAACTGTACACCCTTAACTGAACCACCATTTAGCATTCCTAGGGATTCATTTTGGGCCAAAACTTGAACCCAGAAATGAGATGGAACCAATTACTTTGTACATGTTAGTGGTCACTGATAGACTCCTCTGTAACTACTAATGAATAGGTATAAAGTAGCAGTCTAGAATCATACAGCACAAGGAAGTCAATCTTATCTGCAGCACAGATGAAGAAGAATGAGATAGTAGTCTAGCAGACCTATAGAATGTCTGGCATACTTTGAGGATATGTGAAGTAGGTAGGTAAAGACTCACTTTGAATAGCGAAGGAAATGGCTAACAGGGATATGGAAGTGAAAGGTTTCAATGAACAGATTTGCTTTGTGCATGTGAATTTCGGTCAACCCGGCATTGCTGACCTCCTGTGTGCACCCCATGAGAACCTGAAAGGTTACTGTGCGTGTGGGTCCCTCCGGGACTGTTACACCATAGGACAGGTTTTTAGAAAACCCCTCAGCAAATGGATTGTTCCTGTCCCAAGCGCCCACGACTTGGTTGTGAAGCATCCATTGGACGCTTGGGAGCGCCTGGCATCACTTGGACACTTCAGAAATTGTCCAAGTGATGCTTGGCAGGCTAGACCATCCAGAGGATGGTATACAGCCCACCTGATTGAGAGTGTCCAATGGACAACAAAAAACCATCAATTGGACACTTCTCAGAGTGTCCAATTAATGGTATTCATGTGGTTCTGGCAGTCAAAAAAAAAGGTCCATTGTCCAAAAATGAGCTTGGACTGTGTTTGATTGTCAAGAAATGTGTCAGGGGAGGGTATAGCTAACATTTGGGTGAAAAAAGCATGAAGCCACATAGTGCAGTGGTATCATACTGCTGGAGGTTAACTGGATGGGCCCATGGTGGGCAGGAGGAGGGCTGTTGGTTTGATCCTGCCTGCCTGACATTTTTTCTGCCCAGAGGCTTCCAAGCATACCATCCATTGGATTGTTTGGCCCAACCATCTGGCTTCATCAAAATGCAAAGCACATCCAATGGATGCATAATGAAGGGCCAAAGTCAGATGGAATTTGGTACATCCGTTTAGGTATCCAAATGCCATCTGTTGGGTTACACATATTCATATAGATCATATGTTATATGCTTCAATCAAAACCTAAGTAATCTTGTATTTAGCTCACACCAGATTACTGTAGTTGTTTTTACTCCAGTGAATTCAAACCAACTTTTTCTCACTCACAAAGTGTCATTGGCCTGTCAGCCGTGAACTTTGATTTCTCTCCCTGCGTCTCACGCAACACCATCCACCACGGCTGGTGGTGTACCTGCCATCAAGAGAGGTATGTAGCTCTGTTGATGGCCAATACCAGTCATATTACATAAGAGATTTTAGGGACAAAGTTGAAGGATGTAAAGCCCCAGTCACTGAAATAAATATAAAAGTATATCTTGAGCATTAAGTAAGGCAGGTTTGGTAAAAAAATATCTGGTTGCCCTCTTGTTCAAAGGGAACAATCTACACACATGAGATAGGGATATCCCAAGATGCAATTCTCAAGTCCTATCAGGCCATCTGAATTAGAGATCATTTGTTGGTACCTGTTTCTAGGTACCTGGCACCAATTGAAAGGTACCACTGGCCCGCTGTGGAACTTTTCAAGCTAAATGTTGATGTCTAAGCTCTAAGCTTAAGATCTAGACTACTCTTTGTCCCTCAATATCAAAACCATGATGTCATATTGCTCAGATCTCTGCGATGACATCATGACGCTTAAAACCTTATGCAGTTCTCAATCCGCTTGATCCCTTTCCTTTTCCGCCCAATCCCTTTTCTTTTTCCCTTATCATCTCTTTCTCAGTGTATCGGATCTATTCCTTTCTTCCCCTCAGGAAGAAACTCTCATCCAAATTCCTCACTCAACTCTTCTTCCCTCCAATCTTATAATACATCCCTTCTTGTGTCTTTCCTCACTTTCCTCGTTCCACTTAAATCATTGACTATCAGAAAACATTCTTCTCTCCTGTCCTACAAACGCCTTTGCCTATTGAACAGTATCCAACATTTCAACCTCCTGATTCACTTGGCCACATATTGTTCTTATCCCTTCCATTCACTGAAACTTGTCTATCCCCTCTTTCCTGAAATCTTCCATATGTAGGTTTCAGTCGCAGTTCCTCCTTCATCTACAGCTCATGTATTGATCACATTCTTTTGTTAGATTTATTTCCTCATTTCATTCTCATTGTTCTATAAACATTGGTTGTTATATTTTTTCATCTACTGCTTTTAGGTAACTATATTTTTCATTTCATTTCTTTCTTCATATTCTATTTCTTTAAACAGGTTTTAATGAAATACATCTTTTAGTCTATCCATTAACACTAAAGAAAAGGGCTTAGAGGGGAAAAGAACAACTACACAGGGATAAATGTGGGTTGAAGACTTGGATGCTGATGAATCTGCCCTCTTGTCAAGGCTTGGGAGAGAGTTACAATAAGAATTAAAGAAAAGGTGTGGCTATTTCTGGGGGTAATCTTAGTATGAGGTTTATTGCTTATTTCTTTTACAAGGCACCTGTTGAGAGTGTGAGGATGTGGGGGATTTTTGGTAAGAATGAGGCTCTGGGGGATAATGGTTTCTGGGTTCAATTTCTTATCTTCTGGGGGAAAATCAATAATAATTGCTTCTGGTAACTACTAGTAAGTGATTTCTGCTAAGTAATTATCTGTTTACTTCTCTAATGCAAGCATGGGGAACAAAGTAAGTGGGAAAGAGTATTCTCTATATACACGTGGGTGGTTCTGATCAGGTACTAGTGGTAAGATATCATCTGAAATAAGAAGAAGGTATGAAATAAGTTGTATCTGAAAGACAAGTGGTTATGAAATAAATGTGGCTGACAAATGTGTAGTGTGCAATAAACATGTTGAAAAGGAGAAAATATGAAATAAAATCTGTTTGTGATAAAAATAATATGTAGTGCAAAAGAGATGAGATAATAAGGACTGAAATAAATATTCTGAGGTGAGATGAGAAATCTGTGTGGTGAAATATATATGTAGGTGATATAAGCAATGAGTAATGAGTTGAAATGAGATGGATATATGAAAGAAATGTAGTATGAAGTAAATGTAGAATAAAATAAATGTAGTATGAAATAAATTTACTATGAAATAATTGTAGTATGAAATAATTGTTTTATGAAATAAATGTTGTATGAAAAGAAGAGGATGATGAGTGAGATGAGATGAGATGAGATAACCAATACCTGGGATGAGAAAGCAGAAGTATGGAATGAAATAGTATATGTAGTCTGACTAAGTGGTATCTGAGATGAAATAACTAATGTTTACTGAAAGATTATTATCATAGAAAGAAGGTACTGAGGGAAGACTAATTTGTATCTTGAGATGTGTGATATGTAGTATGTTGTAGCTATGTAGTACTATGTATTACGTAACCAAATTATGTGTAAAAATACTATTTTGTAACCTTCTGAACTGGATACAAGATAATGAATTATATAGCACAAGTATATCAGGTTGTAACATCATAAAACTACTATGTATAACTATTTTGTACTATGTATGACCTTGATTGGTCTCACCACACCACACTGCGCACCCGCCACAAGGTGTCAGGTGTAGTGCCAGGTGTCTGTTTTTGGGCAAAAAAACAGGTGGCACTGCCCACTTCCCTAACATAGGGTGGAGGGATTTTACAATAAATATGAAAAAATGATAAAAGTGACTATAAGTGAAAATTAGTGAGAAAGAGAGGGAAAATACCGCCAGTACCTGCCAAAAGTACTGGTGGTACCCGCCAGGCAGTGCTGGGTGTGGTACTTTGTACCTATTTTTGTAAAAATTTGAACAGGTACCTGGGTACCAACCGGTATCCAAGTAAAAACAAATGATCTCTAATCTGAATGTAGTTGGTCAGCAAACACTTACCTTTCTTTGTCTTTATCTAGACTAGGGTACACTGGAATAGGTCAAAATCATCTCTTTTGGTTCTAATTTACTTGCTAGATCATAGCTGATTATGATATCAATCCATCTGTAAGCATCTTGCACAGGTGTGTTCTGATTCAAGGGATGACAGTGCATTTCAAATTAATTTGAAATGTGCTCTATTGCTGACATATCATGCCCAATGTGGCACACACCAAATTCAGGCTTAGAAAAACGGAAACTGTTCTGGGCTGATCCCAAACCCCACTTGGCTAATTCCAAAGTGTGCCAGTCAGACTACTCAGATTCTCTTGGAAAATGAATCTATTTGTGGAGAGTACTATGTTTAATGTGACAACCACACAAATGGTTTTCGTACCATGATCTCATTTTCCTTTTGAGTTTTTTTTTGTGGATCATGATATTGTTTGGTAATCCAGATTCAAGAGGAGGATTGATTGAGGAGGATGCCAAGAGATCTAATGTTTTGTGAGTTTGATCTTGATGATTGTTGTGAAGAGGTCATGTGAAGTTTGAGAGGCAGTTTGTCTGTTTGGATATGATTACGTAATCAGAATGATATCAGGCTGCTGGCCAAAGATGGTCAACAGTGGTCAACAGTGGTCAACAGGAGGAAAACAAGACAAGAACCAACAAGAACAAGAACAACAACAAGAACAAGAACAACAACAAGAACGAACTAAACGAAAACAACAACAGGAACGAACTAAACAAGATGGGAAACAATCCATCCTCCCATCATCCATCAGCCAACTACAACAGCAGTCACTCAAGAACAAACCCAACCTCATCAGCACCAGCCACTCCAACCGGAACGAACCATCAAACACTCAACAACAACAACAACAACTCACCATCATCATCATCAACAGCAGCAGCAACATCAGCAACAACTCAAGCAATCCAACTACCACCACCTACCACGACCTTCGTCGATGGTGGCTATCTATTCCCACTCTCTAACATCTACCCTTCATCACCACAGGATTGGTTGCATCCGATCGTACAGCACCTCATCCTCTCCCGTCGACTAGCACCATTCTATCGAGGCTTAGAGGACTGGGAGGAAGACTGGGATCGTCAGATGATTGCACATGCACTACAATCTATCACTCTCTCGAGGATTAACTCAATCAAACAGATCCAGAAGATCGAACGTCAAGAATCTATCGAACAACAGCAAACCACTGCTAAATATTCTTCTGGTTCGATCAGCAGACGATTCGCCAAGAACTTACTCCTCGATCATCCTTCTTCTTCTTCTTCTTCTTCTACATCCTCCCCACATCAATCACTTATCGGCTCTTCAACTCTAAATCAATCCGAAAGCAATCATAATCATAACGTCCGTCATCAGATCTTTGAAGCTATCCTCAACTCACAGATTCGGCCCAATGAGATCGATCAATACCTCTCTCAAACTGTCGAATGTCCAATCTGCTTCTTGTGAGACAAAATTATATATTCAGTCTCACTATATAGATATACCACTCACCCTTCTCCTTTGTTTTTGATAGATATTACCCTCCAAACATTAACTTGTCCAGGTGCTGCCAACAACCTATTTGTACGGAATGCTTTACTCAGATCAAACGGACTGACCCAACGCCCCAGGAGATCAAAAGTGAACGTAAGTTGACATGGGCTTCTTTTCCAATAGATTTTAATATATTGAACACTCTGGCTCTGTTCCTGGATGACCACCAGCTGCTTGTTGTCCATACTGCGTCGAGTCGAACTTTGGAGTGACCTATGTGCCACCCGCGCTGGCCAAACGGACGGACTGGAGTTCACCAGATCCCGTGAGTTCCACGGGCGACACATTAGCGGTGCCCGTACCCACGAGTAATCAAGGGACCAGTGGAACGACGACGGCGACGACCGGTTCTCAATCGGCGCCCAGCCCGAGCGGGATGATGGGTGCCAACATGCAGGATGAGTCTGGGGAACCGACGGAGGGAGTAGTGGAGTCGACGAAGATGAAACGACGACAGACGACTAGTCATACCAGCACGGAGGTCGTCACCACCGACTCGATCCAGCCCGACTGGCAGGCCAAACTCGAGGCCGTCAAGGCCGCCGTCCAACGTCGAGCTAATCGGAGGATCATCTTCCGTCAGGAAGGCGACCGACTGATCCCCGTCGGGATCACCTCGTCTCGTGATCCGAATGGATCGGCCTTCCTAGCCGCCTTCGAACAAGATCACAATTCAGGAACATCGACAGTCAGTCGTCGTGGACTCAGCTCATTGATCGGAGGTAATAGCAATCATAGCCCCAGTCCTAGTACTCATTCTGGAATCCAAGGTTCGGCAACTGGCACGGTCCGACGACATCGGACTGAGAACTCGAATTATGGGGTCGATCTAGAGGAGTTAATGATAATGGAGGCGATGCGATTGAGTTTAGCGGAGGAGGAGGAACGGAAGAAGAAGGCGGCGATAGAAGAGGAGAAGATCAAGAAGATGACGGAGACCATGGACGAGTCTGGAGGGTCCGCTAAGCCAACGGCCAGTACCTCTGATAGTCAATCTAACAGTGGTAGCATTAGTAGTAGTCCCTCGAATCTTCTTCATCCCAAGACTTCGTCTAGTACTCCAACACCGACTGGAAGATCAGATGGGATCCATTCTAAACCACCCACCCCCTCCTCTTTCGGCAACAACCAAGGAGGAACAATCCCCACTGCAAGCCTCATCGACCATCCCATCTCCAGCTCTCCCCACTCCTTCTCTCCTCTCGCATCCGACTCGGCCAGAGAAAACCCTCCCCCTATCCCTGCTCATCCTTCCCTGAAACGTCCCACACCCTCTTCTTCCTCTTCTTCTGCGTCTAACCGGGCTTCTACTAACCCTTTCCTCTCGCTCATTGATCCTACACTCCCCTCTCTCGACCCCTGTCAAACCTCTATCCTTAACCCCTTTTCTTCTTCTTCTTCTTCTTCTTCTATTCCTATCAACTCTGCTACTGCTACTTCTCTTCTTTCTAATCCTAACCATGAGCTTTCTCATCTTCTCTCATCTTCTCCTTCCGGCCCTCAACCAGTCTCGGAATCTTCGCCTTCTTCTTCTCCTTTGGCTGGTCACCCGTCTTCGAACTCCACCATCCCGTCTTCTGATCCTGATCCTTCTGCTTCTTCTTCTTTACCTCTTGATCATCATACTTCTTAAATCCCCCCCCCCATTTCTTCACTCACAAACAAACAATTCATCTTTTTGTTTCATTCGGTTGATTTCATCAAATTCTCGGTCACTCACTCTTCTCATACAATTTCTCTCTCTCTCCCTATCTGATATGAGTGTTTCTTTTCTACTACTACTACTCTTACTTTGATCGCGCTTTGTGTTTATCTCTCTCTTCACTCCCTCCATCTCTTATCCCCATGACTGTGTTCACCAAATCACTTCTTAACTCTCACTCTCTCACCCTGAATTTGATTCTACACAAACATTTACTGATCTCTTCCATCTTTTTTAACCTTGTGTATGTGGGTTTCATGTTTCTGAATTATTTGTTGTTATTTGATCTCTCTCCTTTTATCCTTTCCACTTATGACATACATATACATTTATATGTATAGATGTGCCAGCTATTTGTCTATTATCTTCATCCTTTTTTTTTGAAAAAACACACACATACATACATGGTTTGTCATTTATTATGAGTCAACTTCAACCTATCCTATCTTATCCCATCCTTTCCTATCTATTTAGGTATACACATATACATATAAACATATAACATCAAATATTGAGATACATATATGAATCATCACTTTCTCTCACTACCTCATTACTTTGCTTATCTCTCTCTCTCTCTCATTAAATCTTCTCATCCTGTTTGTTTTCTTAAGATACATACATCAAATTATGTGTTTCTTTTTGTACTTTATATATAAAATTTTGTTGCTCTATTTCTCTTTCTTTGATGATCAGATCTCTATCATTATTATTATTATTATCAAATTCTATCAAACTTGATCTTTTTTTCTTTGTAAGGTTGAAGGAGGGGGGGGGAGTGTTATGTAGGTTAACAGAAGCCCCTTGATCTCAGAGGTTGTCAAGACCTCAAAAAGCAAGCCTCCAAAGGAGGGGCTTGTGACTAAAGCTGTCTCTTTGGCCTGGGAGCTTTGGACTTTTTTGCTGGTGGAAACTGGAACACTTCCCTAAGTTACCATCAAACCTTCCTTTTAAAAAAACTTGATGCCCTGTGGGACCAATAGAATTGTGTGGATCTTTTCTACCACCCATCAAAAAAATTGACCTGCTCTTGGATTTCTATGATATCCAAATTAAGACCCCATTTGGCTGCAAATCATGATATGTGATTTGGCTAATGTTTGGTGTGGATTTGGACTGTGCAATATAAAATAATAGAAAGAATTTGCACAAACTCTGGCCAAACCTTGCCTCAAAATTACAAATTACAGACAGCCAAACGGAGCCTAAAGCTTTGAAAAGTTGATGATTTATGGGATCTGGACACCTGTATGATCCTGTATTTGGATTTACAGACAACCTGGATCCTAGAAATCGTGACGTTTGAGCGGCTTTTTGGATGGGTTGGGAAGCCAAGGATAGGCCCAAGTTTTGCTAGATGGAAGACAAGATCCATACTGTTCTGATGGCCCAACAGGCCATCAAAAATTCCAGGAGGGAGGTGGGATGATAGTGGAGGGAAGTTTGCCACCACCAAAAAGCCAAAACCTCTCAAGCCAAAATAAAAAATTACTTAGGTCACAAGCCCCTCCATTGGAGGCTTGCTTTGTAAGGTCTTCCAAGATCAAGGGGCTTGTGATAAGCTAGCTAACACCCCCCCCCCTGTCAGCTCCTGTCTCTTATGTGACCCGGAGTTGATGGGTAATGGTCACACTATAGCCAAGAGGGTCAGTGAAAATAAGCCTTGCCTTGACACTTATAAAGTGGAGGGGCTATCTCCTTAAAATTATAAGGGACAACAGTGGGATGAGCTTCACTGTGCCTGAGCTGAAGGATGATGATAATACTAGAGGTTAACTAGTCTATAAGTAATTACTTACCTCTTATAGACTAGTTCTGAGAATAATGGAAAGTTGTACAACTGATGTAACAGACTATTGTAAAAACCCCACTCACTATTTATTATAAGGTAATATCTAGTAAGGTGATTGGGTTTGTATGGTAATAATGTCTGGGGGATGAATCTCAGGGAAAGAGTCATCCCCTTAAATATTACAGAGCAGGGGTCAAACTGCTGCTGGGACCGGTGCAGTCCCCTTATTGGTGCACTATTCCTTGGGGGAAAGTGTCAGGATATTCAGAGCATGTTAAATGTACATGTGCTGAATATCTTTTGTTTCAGAAAAAACACATAAGAGAGATAAACAGAATGTATATTCACACAAGAGAGATAAACAGGACAATCATCTCTTGGATACACTCAAGAGATAATTATCATTTTCAACTTGAGTATAATTTTCATGGAAGAGGTAAATTAATAAAGAGGTGAATCTTTATTAATTTACAGAATAATTATTAACATAAAAAATACATATAATACTAAATAATAATAAATAATATTAATCAATACTTATTAACTTAAAGATTACATAGGATCAAATTTATTATGTAACCCAAAGGGGTTACATTCTATTGTAGACACCTGGGCTAGTGTCTCAGTGTCTGACACCCCCCTTCAACCTTATAATAAAAGGATCAAGTCTGATAAAATATGGTAATAATAATAATAATGATAGAGATCTGATCATCAATGAAAAAGAAATAGAGAAAAAAATCACATACAAAGTCAAAAAGAAACATTTAATTTGGCATATGTATCTTAAGAAAACAAACAGGATTAGAAGATTGAATGAGAGAGAGATAAGCAGATTAAGCTGTTGTAGAAGAAGCTCAGCTTGGCTTGATTGGTGCTGGAACTTTAAGTGGTGAGGGGCAGAGCACTTTTTCAGCTCAAATATTTTGTGTTGGCTGCCATTGAGTAGGCTCATTAGGCCTTTCAATAACACTGAGGATACTTGAGCAAAACTTATAGTAGGCCTTGGGGTTGAAGGGCGGAGAACAGGTGAAGATGAAATCCATTTCTTTGGCTCTTTTGAAGGAGACCCAGCTTGGCTTGATGGGTGCTGTAATGTTAAATGATCTACTCAAGGAAATATTGGTAGTCACATGTGAAGACCTGTTCCTTAGGGCATCTCCACCACCAATGATATATCTGGGGTGGTGAGCCCCGTACACCACCCCAACTCCCAAAATACCCTGCCACCGCAGGGTGGTAGCTACATTTCCTGTCCAAAAAGTGTACAAAGGTGGTATTTCTCAATACCTCCATTGATACCGCTCTGGGATCAGTGAAATCCACCCATCCAACCTCTGAACTCTTTGTTTTTCCAGCCTTCACATTCAACAATGATTGATATCACAGACTTATCACTACATTTCAGGGACATTTAACCTCCAATTTATTGCCTCCTGGTGTTGTGAAGCTCTCATCTCAGGTCACAGCCATTCCTACAACCCAGCACATACCACCCATGGTGGAGTTGCTCTTAGATATCAGCTATACTGTCCCTGATGGCTTCCAAGCCATCTGCTTTCAAGGAAAAGCCTTTCTTTCCTTGCCAGTGTTCTTAGTGGCATGGCTTTTGCCAAAGCGGCAAACTTGAAGATGTATTTGTTCTGCAATATTGGAGAATTTATATTTTCAGTATTCCTGCGCAAACAGCCCCACAATTAAAGATGCCTCAATACTCCAGCATGAAATAAAGAATTCAGATCAATTGGATTGTCCTGGAATGCTGGAATACCACATCCAATCCTATTTGAGGATAGAAAAACCCTCTGTCTGTGGGGAAGGAAAACCTGCAGCAAAGCACTTGATTCATGAGACATTGCCTTCAAAGAAGAACTTAATCCAATTGAGAAACTTTTCCAGCTTCCTGCAAGTCTGAGTGGGAGTTAGGTGTTCTCACATTTTCAAATCAACTTTTCAGTATTACACAAGAAGCTAGATGCCACTGACCTACAGCATGGAAACAGATGTTGCATGACTCATCAAAAGAATGGATTCTCTGAAATAAAGCAGCCACATAAATTCTAGATTCTTGTGCCTTGGTCTCATTGTGATATGGTGGTTTTCAGTGTAACGTTTCGCAAAGTGACTGATCCCATTGGCTAGCCTCAATGCTCACGTATCTTTGATTTCTCTTGGCGCGCTCATGTGTGGCGTCTGAACTGCGCCCCTTCTTCATGTCCGCTAAGCCAGACATTCTGAAATGCTAGCGGTGATTAACATGATTGTCTTGTCTTGAAAACAAGTTTATTACAGACAGAATCATGGTGAAGTGGGCAGCCTCCCACCACCAGCCCCAGAGAGAATTGTATTCCGTGGAGCTGAGCTGAGACCTCTGAAGGTTATAATTGTCAGCATCAAGTTTAACAAGAGTTGGGATATGGTTGTCAATCAAGCACTTCTACTCAACTTCAATCTTCTTAGAGATGATTGATAAGTGATTCTTATCAGGTAAAATTCTTGCTCAGCTAGCAGTAGCAGGTACATTTTGTACCTCCTCATCAAATAAAACAAGAATCCTGCCGAGAAAGTGGGTAGACCATAAGAGCACTTGTTTCGCAAATGCTCTAATTTTGAACCCAGCTGATAGAGAAAATGTTAAAAAGGGACGCGTGTAATTCTTTCTAATTCTGAGCACAAATCTTACGTCTGGCCGGGACTAAACACCTCTGGAGAGCACACGTTGAAACAAGAAACATTCAAGACGTGGACGTACAAACCTTCTCACACTGACTGCTGACCATCGTTGAATGTAGTATCGAGGTAATTTTTGGATAGGCGGGACAAATTTGATAGCTGGGCCCATCCTATCAAGATTCAAATCTCTCCCCCCCCCCCATAGACCCCCATAGTTCACTTTCAACACTACCTCATATCCAGTACTGGATATGGAGTAAAAAAAACTGGATATTCAGTGTTTTTTTTTAAAAAGAAAATGGTGTGAAGAGGTGAACAAAAAAAAGTATAAAAATACTACATATCCAGGTTTATTTTACTGCACATCCAGTGCGGGATATGAAGTTATGTTTCAAGTGGTTGGGTTCAGCTTTACACCGCAACAGAACCTCAATCATGAAAAAATTAATCCAGTCAACCCTTATAATCCTCCCTCAGTTTCATTTTATGGTATCGCATCTGAATCATAACGTTCCCTTTGATGAGGAGAAGGTGTTGAACCAACTACAGGAATACTCATTTCTAAGTGGCTTGCCAGATCAAAATCAAATTCAAGACAAAAGTTATGACCCCCCAACCAGGCAACTATTTCCATCGCACCAAAGCTTCCGCGATCCCCAAAGAGAGGAACTTGGAATGCGGCATCGCATGATCCAATCAGACCTGATGCCACCAACGTTAAGTCTACACATTGGTCAGTTAGCTCAATCTCTATCTAGAACCGACATGGATGGAATTCATCTTATACGGCTTTGACAAGTGTTTAGGTTCGGCACATTCAGGCGAATCAAATTTTCCTGCCGGAGGCGGCGATCCCAGAGGTAAGAAGAGGCTATCGTCAGTGGGGCCAAGTCAGGAGATCGAAGTACAAGGAACAGCCCATCAATCGGCTTCACAAGACACAGCCTATCTGCCAGCCTCAAAGAAACCAAACTTGAATTTATCATTGGGTCCTCCTGGGTATGAAAACGTTCAAGAGACCGCGGAGTTCTCATCAGGTTTAGCAAGTGAACACGATGCGGGTAAGTGGAACTGAATTTGCTTGATTCAAATTCTGATTGCACTGTAGTCTACTACCGGCGTTGATAATCTAGCATAATATTCAGAAGCTGATACAAAATGCCCTCAGCTCGGGCAGAAAAAAATCGGCCAGGTAGCACAATTCACCCAGGACCACAAGTTGCTAACGTATTTAACGCAAGAATCAATGAGACAAAACCCTTCGTTTTGGCCGCCAAAGCCAATGAACGACCTGAACGTTTCGATATGATTGCGAAATCTTGTGGAAATGGCAACGTAATCGATGTACCAAACGGATTTATGATGAAGCACTTAATTACAGAAAAAGCTACCTCGAAACAAAATGAAGGAAAGGTGACGTTTCTTGAGCGCCATGGAAAGAGCCATAATTACATAGATCAAACCCTCAATGAGAACTTGAATAGACCAATTGTAGAAGAATCTGCAAAAGAATTTTGCTTGAAGAATATGAATCAAAAAATTTGGCCGTGGATTTCGATGATCTGGTACCGTTATGAGTATAAATTATGCGACGAGATGTTTGAACGTATCGATCCATTGCTACAACCCCTTGTGCTTCTAAATGAATTCCTCGTACAGAAGAATAATGAGATGGGCGGAACCTTGCCTTTAAAAACCCTGACAAGTAATCAAATCAAAGAAATTTCCCATTATCTATGGATGTTGAATCTCAGGGTTCTCTACCTCCTGGGAGCCGAGAGACCAGAAGCTTCTTATTTTCAAGGACAAACTGATTTCATCCAGTGGTTTTTGAGTTTCATGTGGCGTCACCAGGACCGTGGGTCTGTCATGTTACCAAATCAAATGTCACCATATCAAGTAATCCAAAATGATCCCAGTTTTTCATATGATTTGGAGGAATCACTTTATCAAAAGTTATTGGAAGCCGTATTTTCCACCAAAACAAATGATATGTACAATGTCTCATTTTCTTGGAAAAAATCTTCAAGGGATCAAATCATGGTCTCTCAAAAACTATCCTTGATTTCGGAGGCTTCTGTCCATGTAATTGGTTTTTACTATAAAAACAAAAACTACACTAAATGGAAACATGTCTTTAAGGAAGAGAGTCTATTTGCACTTGAAATTGCACACTTTGGTCGCAAGGTGTTGAGTGATTGGACTCATAAACCCTCTTTGATATTTGAGACAAGGAAAAAGGGAAGATTGATACCTTGGGAGTCTCAAATTTCATCAGAATCTCTTCAAAATAACCTAGAAAATAACTACATGAGGCACTTTAGTTTTGAAAAGTTTGTCACTTTGGTTGTTACTCAGCCAACAGTATCTTTGGAAATAAGCCAGAGGAATTATTTTACAAAGGAGCATTCATTTCATTTGAAGGTTGAAGAAGAAATGCTTTGGGTATGGATAACAAGGAATAACCTGAAAGGAATGAACAAGTCAAATTTAGATTTCAAGCCAGGAAATTCTTTTAAAAAAAAGATGAGAGAGTTTCTGTTTAATGCAATTGGCAAGAAATTGGGACATGAAAACCAGGAAAAGTTTCAGTACATGGAAGAAAAGAAATTTTCAGAAAGATTTGAAAGACTATTTGGTTTTATATTCTCAATGAATACATTTTTTCTTGAAAGTTTGAGATGTGCACAATCAACAGAATTCTTTTCCCAGGAACAAAAAATGCTTCAAGCATATTTTGAGTTTGTCTTATTTCAACCAAAGAGAGATTCCTACATTCCTAGAGCAACCAATGTATCTCAACGCATTGGAAGTGAAGACTTGGAATCCATGATGGTAGATTTGTTTATATTGGAAAAGAACAACAAAATCTACAAAGTTTTTCATCCAAAGCCTCGTGAAAGTGATCAATTCTTAGTCTCAACAGAAGATATATTACATACAAAGATTTCGCTGATTACTCTTGGAGATTACTATAAGAACCAGAATTACCAAAAGTGGAATATAATCTTTACAGAATATGATCAAGCAATTTTCAATCATTTTGTCACATTAAGCACTCTTAATTTCCATGGAAAAAGTATCAAAGATACTTTGATGACTCAATTTGAAACACCAAATCTGTTTCCATGGCATGTGGAACTAGAGAATTCAAGGCAGTCTATTTCTTTTGATATCCCCACATCCATTTCTGGTCACACAATAAGATGTGTCAAGAAATGGGTAGAAGAATTTCACAATGAATCAGTTTTACCTCATGAAAGGGTTCTTTTTCATAATGCTCAAGTGTTTAATTTGAAAGATCAAGGAGAGATATTATGGGTATGGATTGCCACAAGAACTCTGAGAGGAATGAGTAAATTAAAATCAAATATTAATCCAGAAATTTCTCTGATGACAAAAATGAGACATTTCATCTTGAATGAAATTGTGAAGAAATCAGTCTATATCAACCAGGAAAAAATTCAATCCAATAAGCAATTTGAATTCTCAGAAATCTTTGAAAGACTTTTTGGTTTTATTTGGTCAATGAACTCAATTTTCCTTGAAACTTTGGGCTGTAGAAAGTCCAAGGAATCTTTTTCTCAAGAGCAAAAAAGCATTCAATCATATTTTGAGTTTGCTTTATACCAGTTAAACAGAAACTCATATATTACTAAAGAAATTGATCAGTATGAAGAAATTGGAAGAAAAGACTTGGGACAACTGATTTTTGATGTGTTTAGTTTGGAAAATAAAAAACCAATTTACAAAGTTGAAACCCCCAAAAAACGACAATATCATGAATTCATGATCACAAAAGAAGATATCTTGTTGACAAAAATTGCACTGATTACACTTGGATATTATTACAAAAACCAGAATAATACAAAGTGGAACAAGCTTTTTCCAGAAGGGGATCAACAATTCTTCAATTTACTTATCATCTTGAGCACCCATCAATTTCATGGAAAAGCTGTCATAGGGAAGTATTCAAGTCAATCTGAATCATGGAAATTGTTTCCATGGTATTCAGAATTGGGGAATTTATCCCAGTCTCTTTCCATTGATATCCCAAACCATATTCAACGCAGCACAAAAGATTCAATAGAAAGATGGGTGAAGAAAGTTTGTGATGAATCAGAAAATTGAATCTGATATAAATCAAAATCAATGTTTTTGAATTCACGTTCATGAAGAACCCCTGCTTATCTGAGTTCTTCTAAGTTGTTTTAAAATTCACGTTACATACATCAGACTTGCCGCAGCATGGTACCTAAACTTGATTCTGGGACTACCCGGAGTCAAGGATTTCATCAAATTCTAGGTGAATGCATATGATTATTGGTCTGTGGCTTCAATACTTCTCTTCAATTTTTTTTTTTTTTGAAAAATCAAGGCATGAATCACCAAGAGGTTTGCAAGTTTGGTATTCAAGAGAAAATTCCTGAGAGGCTACCTCATCTCTTAAGTTTAATATTCTTATAAATACACATCACAGTGTACAGTTACCTCCCAGTTGTTTATGGCTGTTTTGTTTGGATTACATAACCTTAACTCACCAACATGAAATGATCATGAGACTTGAGCAAGTGGTATAAAAGAGGTTTAAAAAAATGATTCTGAAAACAAAAATATGAAAAACTGATTTTTGAAATTTTCAAAAAAAATACAATTATTGGACTTTTTTCATAAGTTTCAAAATGATAAAATAAAAATTGGAAAGAGTTGTATCGTATGCAAAAAGAATGACAATAAATGAAAAAAATCAGCTCCAGGAATCATTCTGAGCTCAGTATCCAGGTCAAAATGCAAGTTGAATTTGATCACACTGCCTTTTCCACTGTATTTTCCACTGTGAGAATGATGAATGCCTCACTCCACACCAGTTTAAACCCATCTGGTCTTTAGTTTTTTTCAAATTTTAATTTATTATCATTCATCCAGCATACCATACTGCAATGTCCAATTTACATTTTCTCATTTGGAGCAATCTTAAAACTATTGAAAAAAGTGCAGTCACTGTAATATTTTTTTGTAAATTTTGAAAAACATTTTTTTCATACTTTTGTTTTCAGATTTTTTCTTTGAAACCTATTTTATACCACTTGCCCAACTATCATGATTTCAATCTGGTGGGTTGGGATTGTGTAAATCAAACAAACCAGCCATCAACAACTGGGAGGTGACTGACTGTACACTGTAATTCCTTTTCAGATCCAGATACAATTCTTGTTGTTGCAGGAGCCACAACAAATGTTTTGAATAGCATCCTTAACATAGAAATCCTGCAACTTAATCACTGAAAACAGTTTTTTACTTCCAAACTATCGTAATTTACATTCTATCTCAGTGATTGACATTTCTGAATTGAATCTTTTTATGATGAATATTTTGTTACTATTATGATTGAGATTGTTGGAGCATTGAGTCTTTAAGTCTTTGTTGGGGCTCAGTAGTCTAACACTACACAAATATTGGCCAATAACAATAGTGATTGGCCCAAAGATAAGAAACACATATGAGCTTTATTAGGATAGTGCCCATGTTTCTCAGAAGAGTTATGGCCCCCCAGATGTGTTTATTGTTAGAAATTGATAAGCCCTCCACATTTGCGGTTCCAGGTGATCTTCATCTGCTTGATGATCCACGTATACTGTTCATTGAGTTTTTCGGCTCGATAGTAAAATTCAATGGTTTCATCAGTTCTCTTGTTTGAGGTCTTTGATATTTGCAGCCTTCATATGGTCCTAGAAAGTCTTATGTTGAATGCAGGGTCTGTAACACATGTGTATCTCTTGGCGAGCTTAACATAAGCCTCTCAATCGGGTCCCGAAGGGACCCCGCATCCCGAAGGGATGCTCTCCGAAGGAGAGGCTTACCTCCAAAGTGCCTCTAGTGTCACTACGTAAATGAGATTTACATGAAAAAATGTATTTTTTTGACTTTGAAAATTAATTAAAAATACATCATTCATCTTAACACGATTCTGAGTAGAACAAAATGTGAACTTCCTTCTCAGCTCTCAGCTCGTCAAATTTTGTAAATTATCTTCCACAAACCACTTTTCCTCCTGTGTTTTTAGCCAGCAATGATCGGAACTTTTGCGAAGTAAAAAAAAATCTTATTTCTGATCCGAAATCATCAGATCTTGGACCCTCTCACGGGTTTCTGTCGGATTCAACGCAAATACATAGTATCCGGTTTGCAATAGAAAGTCGCTTGAATTGGCTGGCATTTAGTTCTCACAGCGCTCAAAAGAAGAATGAGGGTCGTCATAGGTCGTAATGCAGAGTACAAGAGAAATTTGAAGAGAGCTTAAGATAAGACCTACCTTGACATAACAAAACCAAACACGAAGATGATACGGCCAAAGAAAGGTCAACCAAAAGCTAGCCTTAGCCCCCAGAAAGCAACCACAGGAATCACGCCACTGAAGAAACTGCTCGAAAAAAAAGACGATGCACTGAAGACCGAGATTGCTACTCGAGCAAAGAACGACTATAACGGCCAAGATCCAAAGCCAATTCAAGTTGAGACGGTTGCAACTCTAGCGCGAGGGAAGAGTGCTTTTCTTCTAGCAGGCACTGGATTTGGAAAGTCGAGGATCGCCGAGATGTATTTCAAGACCTTGCCACCCAAATCAAAGCCTGTGGTGCTGGTTCTAAACCCACTTGATGCATTGGGTGATAATCAAGTTGAAGAGAAGAAGGGAAAATTTACTGCTATAAACTTAACAAAGCTCACATTCAACCCATTTGTTGCCGAGCAAATCAAGTCCGGTGTGTACAATTTTGTGTACCTCAGTCCCGAGATATTTCTCAATAGCAAGCTTTGGGATTCGGTTTATTTTAGCCCAGCGTTCCAAGAAAGACTTGGCCTTGTTGTTGTCGATGAGGCCCATATGATTTACATATGGGGCCTTGTTGAAAGCTCTAGCGGAAGAAACAAATATTCGATTCTAGTACGACATCAAGACATAGGAATCGACTTGGACTTAACGCAATATACAAAAATAACTTTAAGTTGATAAACAATACTTGAAGTCCTGGTTAATACATTACTCATATTATATCCATACTATGTTTTATGAAAGTATTTATTTATTGCCAGATATTTTTGGTGGACAATCCGGCCTTGAGAAAGCCGGATTGTTTACAGATATTTTCCACAGGCCCATCTTTACAGGATGTTACTCAGGGGCACGAACAGATATTGAAGAATTGGAAAATATGAAAATTATCCTATGAATCTTGTGAATTTAATGGCACCAGAGGCGGAACGAGAAGATGAGTGCTAGTGGGTGCTATGGGGGAGGGGGAGTTACTTCCAGCCAAATGGCTGGACTCCGTAGGGTGAGATATGTGACTTTGGATGCAAGTCCCTCCTTCGGAGGTCGCTACGCGACCTCCTCGGAGGGACCTTGTGTTAAGTTCGATCTCTTGGGTGGTGTCGAGTTGTGAGTTATCGTAGCCCCGCGCTCTTTGTGGTCCGATCCGTGCGCGGGTGTTGTTCCCCGGATCTCTTGAACGCGTCTCAGCTCAGCCACGGTCAACAGCGACAACAAGAGAGAGAACCACCAAGCCAGCCTATTTACAACCAACAGAACAAAACAAGCAATCACCATCACCATCTCAGCCTCAACCCACTCGGAATGCCTCCCCGATCTCGCACCGCAACATCGGACGCATATCATGGTTCATTCGATCCTGGGGTCACTGGACGGTCGGCTCCTTTTTTCTTCTTGCTCATTTGCCTCGAGACAAGATACTGAGTCCACGCGCATATCAACATCTTCTCCACAGACGAACAGGAGTAGCACCACCGACAAAAGTTCGACGGACTTCGAATGGAATCGAAGCTTTCTCAGATTATTTCAATTCTCCTAGAAAAGATCCAAGCGTCTCGCCCATTAGATCCCCAAGCAAACGAACAAATGATGACCAGATACCCCAACGAATGAGAAACGATCGTCCCGATATGTTTCATGAAATCGGTGAACGCGGAAGGTGGGCCTTGGACTCAATATACTTCTGGTTTGATCCGTTGACTGATTGCACTCATCTTAACCGATTCTCTGTGGTTCTATGATTCTCAATCAACAAGGAAAACAGGGATCAGTCCACCCAAAAACTCGACGAGGGATGAGAATGGATTTGAAGATTTTGATAATTATCTGATTAAAGCGACCGAGCAAACTAATAAAGGAATCGCGAGAGAGAGGAGGAAGAGCATGCGACGGAAATCTACCGGTCAAGCCCTCCACAACCGGAAACTCTCTGTTGCCACATTTGTAGACGACGACGATGACGATGATGAATTCATGGAAGAAAGTATGAGTCTTGCTACCCCTGGTTCGTCCCACTCCCCCTCTTAACCGCATGATCGAGTATACATACTGAAATTTCCCTCCTCTCCATCCGACCATGTCTTAATCACCTGTCAACCCACTCAAGACACCAGCGCCTTACAACGCCGACAATCCCGCTCCTCGCATCTTGGATCAGCTCAATCAAATCCGATTGATTCAGATCAACGGAAAACTCGATCAAGAATTTCAGATGCGATAGATCAATCAATACGAACACCTACCGGCTCTGACTTGATTGACTTTGATGTGGTTCCCGAAGGTCCTGTTCATTCACACTCACGACATAAGTCTCACGATGAACAGCCGATGACAATACAGGATGATGAACAAGAACAAGATGAAGATGAAGATGATATACAAAACTCAGGAGGGATGGTGGCCAATGAATATGATGAGGAGTCTGTTGTTAGTGGTGAATTGGATGCCCCACCTCCTCCACCCGACTCGGTTGAAGACGAAGAATCGGACAATCCCGCCGGATTAGAGGATATTGCCGAGGTCGAAGAGGAGGAGGAGGACCACGAGACAACAGCTGGCCCTAACGATCATGCGGATTCGTCTAATCCCAAGCCGCCTGAACGTCCGAAACCGCAGAAAAAAAACCATCGTCGTGAGTAATTTATTTCACTTTCACTTTTCCTTTTAATATTGATTCTATAGCCAACGCGCCTCCTTCATCGATATTCAGCTCCACCTCCTGCAGGGGTTCGTCGAGGACAACGGCAACGCTTTGAACGTCTAGCACATTGGAGAGGTGAACGGGTCGTCTACGGGCGGAGTGTGACGCCGGACGGGAACCAAAAAGTAATAGGAATGGTAGATGTGGTCCGAGTGCCGACCGAGCCGCCTGAGTCATTTGCCGCATCTAGGCGAAACCGACGTGGGATGACAAAGATCAAATCCGAAAGCGTTGCACCCCAAGAGATCCATGACAACCGCCAGCCAGAGGAAGGCTGGGATTCTAAAACCCTGCCGAACGGGATCGTCTACAGTTCTACTAAACATAAAGATATCGAACGTGCCGTCGTTTGTACGAAGAATATGGTCACCATTGACGTCGAAGGCAAAGCTGGAGTACCTAACTCGTTCGAGTTTCAAAGAGTCTTCAAGCATTCAGATTTCATTGCTGGCGGATTCATGTATATCCCTGTGGGTGGCGGTAAACCACTCAAACCATCTAAGGATAATTGCTATGTAAATATACTTCTTTAACTTCTGACCTGATACTTATGGTTTGGTTTGTATATCTGATCAGTCTGTTTTCTTGATTCAAAAAAAAAGTTTTTTACCGTTGTAGAAGGGGCAGTTTCAGTCCATGTCCATCGGACTACGTTTGTTGTTGCTCCTCACGGCGTGTTTTGGATTCCTCGAGGTACGTGGCAAAACCAATTCTCCTATCGACATGAAAAGCCAGCCTCTCATCGTCGGGGGAAATGAAAACAATCGGCCTCGGGTATTAACTGATTATTGTTTTCTCACAATTTTTATTCCATTTTGTTCCGGGATTAAACACCAAAAAAACAATAGGGAACGTTTACTCAATACAAAACATCAGTGAAAGGACGGCCAAACTGTCATTTGCTCAAGCTAGAAGAGCCACCGATGCAGATGCAGAGATAGATTCGGATGACATAGATGAAGAGCATTCGATGCTTCAAAACAGTTCCAACGACCCATCCACATCCACCAGCATACCCCAGAAAGCCGGCCGTCTCCCTCATCCTGACGAATCTCTTACTCATGATCCCACTAACAAATCAACCAAGACCCGGAAAAATCTTAACAAGAATAAGAAAAAGGTTGTCAATGAGAATGATACCAGTGCTAGCACCAATACCAGTAATCCTCCTGGTAAGAAAAAACCAAGGAAGGTGCTTGGGATGAAGAAAAAGAAGAAGAATATGAAACAGAAGCAGAAGCAGAAGGAACAACCCGACGAAGAAGAACCTGATGAGGAACAGCAACAAGAAGAAGAAAGGGAAGAGGAGGGGGAAGAGGAAGAAGAAGAAGAAGCACAGTCATCATGACAGTCTGCTTAAAAATCCCCGATTTCACTCTTTTTGTTTTTGCCACAACAAACATTTTTTCTCTTGGTTCTGACTCATCTTATCTTTGGTTTTCTGAGTCAACTTTGTCTCATCAGACTTGCATATTCACAAAAGCTGGTCTCAATCTTGGCTGCCATAGTTTTGTCACATGATGTATCTTGTATCTTCCTATCTCTTTCCGCTTAAGTTATAATCAATTTTATATGTGTGTGAAGAAGAAAGTGTGTTTCTTTGTTCTTTTCTTTTCATTAGTATGTGATGATCAACCAATCAATCAGTATAATCATTCATCATTCACTTCCTCATGTTGTAATCTTGTACAGTTGCAGTTGGTCATTCATGAGTCTGATTTCTTTTGATTTACTTATGTATCCCCTTGATCAAAAATTTAATGGTATAATAATAAAAGTCACTTGATAGTGGGTATGATGCATGTTTGTCTGTTTGACTTCAAAGTCAGATAAAAAGAGGGTTGGAGGAATGGCTACTGCTTAGATTGAAAACTCTCCCCCTCTGATTTATTTTCTTGTTGATCCAATATTCACTATTCAATACAGATAAACCCACTTTTCACTTATTTGGATTTGGTCTATTTGTAGTGAGGAAATGGCAGGAATAAGAATCATTGGTTCTTGTTTCCCAATCCTTGTCTCATAAGCCTGTATTCTGCATTAATTCTCCAATTTCACTTCCTGTGTCACCTCTTTTCTCTTCAAAGACTCTCCCTCATTATGAGAGCTATTCTTTCAAAAATCTCTCCCCAGGATTTTTGTTCTTGGACACTTCAGCAGACACCTCAGAAAGTGCAAGTGCATAGTCCTCATGTGTGCCCCAGGATACTCATCATTGTTACTGGTATATCTTCCCAGCTTAAACTTGAGAATGTAGAGGATCAAGTACGGGATGGTCTGTATTAGAGATGGTCACAGTGAATCCGGATATCCGCTCACAATTTCAGCGGAATTTGATATCCGCATCCGCAACCACAACCGCTGGCGGATATCCCCTGGTTTTGGCGGGTATCCGCGCGGATACCCGCGGATACCCACCCTTTAACTTGGCGGCGAGGCAGCCGGCTGGAAGGGTTTTCTTCCAGCCGGCGAGGTACACGTACCTCGCTGACTGGAAGGATTTCCTTCCATTCGGCAAGGTACATGCACCTCGTTGGCCGGAAGGATTTCCTTCCAGTCAGAGAGGTACATGTACCTCACCGGCCGGAAGTATTTCCTTCCAGTCGGAGAGGTACATGTACCTCACCGGCCGGAAGGATTTCCTTCCAGTCGGCGAGGTACATGCCTTGTCAGCCGGAAGGATTTCCTTCCAGCCAGCGAGGTACACGTACCTTGCTGACTGGAAGGAAATCCTTCCGGTTGACAAGGCATGTTCTACGCAGAAAAAGTAAAAATTTATTATTATATCTTTATATATCATATATATGGTAAAAATGAGATCAGAAATGGATTTCTCAGGTAAAATAACCCCTAGTCACCCACTACAACTACCCCCATATCTCTCATAGTTTAGAAGTTACACAGATTTCAACCTATCACGGAATATCTTTTGGATTCTTTACTCTCAGTATGGCTTGTTTTGAATACTGGATGCATATTGAATATTGAATTCCTTTGTGTTGTATTGAATTCCTTTATTGGCACATAGTGCATATTGAATTCCTTTGTAAGTGCACATGCATTCCTTTGTAGTAGGACCTTGTAGGCTAGCCAAATTCCCTCAAGGCAGTGCTCTCACCAGCCAAATTCCCTCACCTGCATGTATTAGACTAGCTAAAATCCCTCATTGGATCTTCAGGCCAGCTAAAATGCCTCAAAAGCCTGTACCCTGGGGCTAAAATCCCTCACATTTGTCTATATAAGGAGGCCTCTGCCTGCCAGTTGTTCCCTCCATCATCCCACCAGTGGACCAGATCATCTCAACCCACATTACAGATTATATACAAGTGACAGCCATAACAATACATTATATTGAAATACAACCATAACAGTTTCATCATCATAACAAGTGCCAAGTGCCCATAACCTGCCTCACATACCATTACTGGTTGAAGCATAGCACTCCCAAAGCTCCAAGCCTTGGTATTAAAGCTTGAACAACAACTCCATCAATATAATCATCACTCATTAACAACTTCAGACCCTTTCTAAACATCACTCGGAAGCTTCATCTTGAACTATCCTCTATCACGATAAATATAACTGCCAAGCTAAGCTTGGTGGTCTTGTTGTTCTGATAGCATAGAAGGGCAGAGCTTGCAACTCCAACATACCCTTCTCCATTCAGCAAAAGGGTTTCATAACCACTTTTGAGTCTTACACCGGCTGGAAGGAGATCCTTCCGGCCAACAAGGTACATGTACCTCGTCAACTGGAAGGAAACCCTTCCAGCCGGCCATCTCCTCTTTCCGGCCTTGGGTATCCTTGGGGATATCCGCCGGGATTTCACAGAAAAGGGGGCATCCGCACCCACCAGCGGATATCCCCTGGCACTGGCGGGTATCCGCCAGCGGATAGCGGATATCCACAACGGATTATCCCCGCCCATCTCTAGTCTGTATTCCAGAATCCATGTCAAACATTCAAGAAATATGGCTTACTGATGATATCTGTGAGCATAGATAATTGGTTCAAATCATCCTCTATGTGATCATAGATTGATTAAGTAATACTTTGCAGCTGCCATAACTGCAATCCACACATTTCTGGATAAGTACAGATAATGATTGTCTGGGAAGATCTTACCTCTTTATACATACACCAATCACATATGGAAATTTGAAAAACTTGAACTGAGGGGTGGTCAAAATAAAAATGATTGTAAGCACATAGTCAGGAGTTTGTGTACACCATGAGCTATTCAAATGTGCAAGACACATTTGCTGTGATTAATGAATGTTTGTGGAGAGCCATGTTATTTTTTTTGATAAGTTTCCACATAAAAATTGGCTATGTGACTATTCTAGAATTAGAAACTTGAAGAAATGTTTACTTTGGGATCAACCATAAAGCCTGTTTTATATTCACAACCAAAACTATTTCCTTTCCACAAATGTTTTAACCTGAATCCATTAAATTGAAGTTTTGAGGTTGTTCCCATTGATAAAATCTCTCTCCATGAGGTCAAGTTAAATTGTGGTTAGCACTGTTTCTTTGGTTTTCAGATATTTTAGACTGGTGAACGCAAGCATCTTTCCAAGCTATTTCCGCTGCAATAGCGAAATTGGGTATCGGGAATGTGGTCTAAATTATCCAAGGGAGAAACATCTAAAGAAAATGACTTGACATTAAGAGATCTTGAAAAATGAAACATGAAGGAAAAGTTGAACATCATTTGCTGATAATGACTACACATTTCTTTTCCTCTTGAATAGTGAAATAAAATTTAGATTTTTTAGTTTGTATATGTCCTAGGATAATTCTTCAGACTTGAAATCATAGTATTCCAGTAGGTTTGGTCAGATTCAAAATAAGTTCTGTACCAATAGCCAATCAGGGCAAGTGAGACCTGAATAACAATGCGATCCGACTGCGTATCGCTGAAGTAATTTAACAAATAGATCTGAACTTCATTGAAGTTTGAGGCCTCGAACATTATTGAAGACTTCAGCAGTTCCACCTCGCCAAACAAAGGATAATAATGGTATCCCGGTGCAAGCATCATATTTGTAATCCATTGGAAAAAAGTATCATCTGTAGGAATTTCTAATGCATTATCTTTGTGTGAGACGAGGTGATGGAACGCGAGACGATGACAGCTCCCCAAATGGTAAAACAATGACTGTAACTTCTTTTTCAGTTCATCCTTGTGAATGGCGAAGCCCGTTTTTCGAATGATTTTAATGTTGAATAAGGTCGGTTCAGTTATTGTCCTCCTTTGGTATCCGACCAGTTCGACTGGAAGACCCAGCACCGGAGTTCTTTCCATCTTACTTATGACCGCTCTTTCTGAATTCAAGGTGTCCCAAATCTCTTTTGCATATTTTCCTAGGGGGGGTATGATGTATGATTCTGTCGGCTTGTAGGATTCGGGAAACAGGCTCAAGTCTGGTATTTTAAAACTTCCTATCCTATCGATGGGCATAGCGAGAGATTGTTCAAAATTGTCAACTCGAATTCGAGAGTTAGTTGCTTCATACAGGAGTGCTTCGATATGTGGAATTAAATCAGGCCTTTCGTCCAAAATACACCCATCGAATTTGTGGTTTGTCTCTCTATGGTGTTGTTGGATGATGATAACGCAGAGCTTGATGATGTCGGTAGTTGATGACTCTTCGGTGAGATATCTAACAAGAGGCGCCTGAACTGTTCCAAAAGTTTTCGCCGTGGGACTCGTAACTATTCCCAAGACAGGAAAACTGTTATCCAATGGCCTGAAGCTTTTCGCCAGAAGCCAATCAGTCACTCTTTCGTGTGATGATAGTTCTTCCTCATAAAGGACCTTTTGATTGCGGCTTCTCAACATAGTGGTGTTGATAAAGATGAGCCACTGTAGTAAGCTGTCAAACATGCCAGTTAGAGTTTTACCTGTGTAATTGTCCTCATTATCTGCAGGTTTTCCAATCGGTCTAACTATGAATTTGCCACGTCCTCTGTAGACCGGAGACACGATAGCTGAGAAATCCTTCATTTTATATGTTGAATATGCCTTTTTTCGAACCTTGTAATGCAGGAAATGGGCATTGATCTCTCGTTCAAATTTCTTAGTGAAACGAGCTGAGAATATACCACTCATACTCTCCTTAGGATACGAGTATATTCGAAGCAGGGATTCGAGCGAGTGTTTTGTCATGCCTGTCTCTCGCATGTCATTCTGAGGGTTGTCTTTTCGTAGTGTAAAATACGAGTTACTCTTCTCTGGCTGGTCGTGGAGTTTTTCATAATCAACCAACGTCCGCCGAGGTCCGCTGTCCTTATCAAGAAGGTATTCAACGATGTGCCTAGGTTCGGATGCTTCTGAGCTAATTTTAGATATCAAAGCTGAATCGAAATTGAACGGGAATGAATTTGTGGCGCAAGAACCACGAAGACAAAGCGGACGTGTGTGTGTGTGTGTTTACTTACAATGATCTTCCTTTTGAATCACAGTGGGCTTCGGGCGTTGTTGCTCCAGGGCTTCAGATATGACACCATGTGAGTCATCAATCTGCTCGCTTTGTTCATGAAATATGTCGTGATCCACCAAAAGTTGAGAAAGAAATGCGCTCTCATCAAAGTTGGATTCTTCTGAAGACAAATCAGTCCTCATGGCTGAGTTGAAAGTACCTCAAAATAAGCAAAGTTAATCTGAACTGCAAAAGATACTGCGATAAAATGTACTTGTCTCTGCTTACACTGTTCCTCCTGATGGTTCTCAGTTGGATTTGTGATTGTTTCCAGGAAGTCGGCTCCGTTCAGCCATTTATCTAATTGTTTCAAGCTCTGTTGTTCATGAAAACTATCCAAATCAGATGGCCATGAGAGCGAGGCGTCAAAATGGCTGCTTCTTGAGTCAGGTTGGTGACTTGGCTCGGGCCCTTTTGATGTGGATGTTAGATGAAATATGTTGCTTGCAGGTTGAAAGCTATCCAAGCCTGCGTCGTGTAAGCTGTCATAACCAGGAAGTAAAATGTGTGATGTTTGTGCAGTTGGTGGCTTGAAGGGCTGAGGATAAGCTTCCGCCTGGTGGCCCAATGATCCTAATGTTGGCAACACATGAGATGCTTTGGTCAAACTGTGTGCTGGGGTACAATTTCTTCTCAAAAAAAGTTATTTATGCTATACTCACCTTCTATGTTGGCCGTGGATGAGAGCCACTCTGTGGGTTCCGACGTAGATAGGACCCCCGCGTGGAAACTGGATTCCTGGTCACCTGGCAAGTCCAGCTCTGCCAGCTTTTGTCGTTTTTCTCTATGTGGGATTGATTCTGGTTCCATATGATCGGCACATAATGGAAAGTAGGATGTAAGGTGAAGGATTCTCCCTGCAGTTAGAATAAACTCGACAGAATGAATGCTACCTTGCACACACCTTCCTGCGTTCCAGGCTGAATGATTGAATGAGTATAGGTTCCCAGTGTTGAAAACTCTTGCTGTTGATGATTGAGGTGCGTGATTGGGTTTTGGCTAGCGATCCCTACGCCTTGGAAGCTGGGCGACGCCGCCAGTGTATCCTCAGAAAGGCTCCCGAACTTCCGAGTTGGATCAACGACATCCCACAGGGTGCCCCCATTGTCTTGCAGGCCGCTTCGGTATTGAAAGGCTAGAACCTCGGGACTGATTATGAGCCACAAGGCCTTGAGGAAAAACGTGTCAATCATGTAGATATTCCCGAGTGTGGATAACATCTGCTCGAGAGTTCAAAACATTTGACACTGTTGGTGATACCAGCTCCATCTCAATTCTTGGACTCGAAAATCGGAGCGTTATACGACGGCTTGGACGGCCTATACAGCCCCACTGTAGTCACAATCATACTATCATGTAGCTCGCAATGTTACTCCCCCCCCCCCACCTAAACTTAAGACAAGTCTTGAGTCTCTGCGGGGTCCTTGTAGGTTGGAGTGTCCTCAGACGCGTTGCATTGTGCAGCTCTGCAGTTATTCATTTCTTAAAATAGCATAGTTAGATATTCATCTCCTGTAAAATTCGAGATATCCGCTAGTAAACATAGCTTTTAAGTTTTCTTGATTGAAAAAGAAACATACCATTAACGTAAATCTAGTTAGTATTGCAAAGCATGTGCTTTCACTACCCAGTTTTGGCTGGACCCAATGAGGGGATTGGTAATTGAAATTCATTTTGATACCTTCATCATCAAAATTTTGGAAATTTTATGAGCTAGACAGATTTTGGATTTCTTATTATCAAATAATCAGGGTAAACTTACAAGTTGTTGATGAACATGCTCAACAAGGCCTCCAAATTCTTACATAGTTTCAATTGTGAACCCCCTTGGTGTAAGATTATTCTAACAATCAATGTTGTACATTTGCACAATGACACCATTTGACAGTGGGTGGTCAGTAGGGCAGTTCACATTGCAGGGAACTTAAACATCACTTTTTCAATTCTGATGAAATGATTGTTGTAAAATATTAGATTGAGCTGTTTCTGTTATGTAAACCTTTTCACCACTTAGAATAATGTGAAGGTATGAAGCATTCTTTTTTTGTTCAATATCCTTTCCCACACAAACAAAAAGCCAAGAATTCCATTACACTGCAAGGAACAAGAAATACAAACCAAAACAAGAGAAACTGTAAGATTTCAACCAACCAAGTTATTATTAAAAGAGACTATACGAAAGGGAAAACTAAAAGATCAATTTTCGATTAAAACTACATGGTTCTTTGTGATTTGAAGAGTTAAATCGGATCTAGATGATAAGTAAATTCATGAAGAGAATGCCTCAGAATGAAAATCATAGTAGTCCAGTAGACTTGATCAGACTTAAAATAATTTCTGTAATGATAACCAATGAGAGCAAGCGAGACCTGAATAACCATGCGAGGTGACTCCAGATCGCTGAGGTAATGTATGAGATAGGTTTGAACTTCGTTGAAGTTGGAGGCCTCGAATATCTTTGGAGACTGAAACCCTTTCACCACTCCAAATAAGGGATAATGATCGTTTCCTGGGGCGATTAGGGTATCTGAAATCCATTGGAAAAAGGAGTCTTCTGTAGGGATTCCTACCTGTTGGTTTTTGAGTGAGGTTAGGTGATCGAGCACAAGACGATGACAGATTTGCAAATGGCTAAACAAGAAAGTTAACTTCTTCGACAGTTCCTTCTTATGGTCGCGTATCCCGGTTTTTCGAATAATCTTGACTATGAATGTGATTGGTGCTTGTGCTTTCTTTTTTAGGAATGCTACCAGTTCCACTGGGAGACCGACCATCAGAGTTTTTTGCATGTGAACGGGGGTATCTTTGTCCAATGCCAAAGCTCTGATAACCAAGTCTTCATATTTTCTCTGAGTGGGCATTGTAAAAGAAGGCTGTACAGGTTTGAGGGCTTCAGGAAACAGACTCAAGTCTGGTATTCTGAAACTTCCAATCCTATCCGTGGGCATTGTGAGAGAGTCCTCGAATCTATCGACGCGCATTTGAACCTTAGTTGCTTCATACACGATTCTTTTCACGTTCAGAATTAAATCAGGTCCTTCATCTAAAAGACGACCGAGTTGATTGTTCGCTTCTCTGTTGTACTGTTGGAGAATGGTAATGCAGAGCTCGATGATCTCGGTAGTTGATGACTTTTTGGTGAGATATCTGACAAGAGGTATCTGAATTATTCCAAATGTTTTTGGTTGATTCAGATTTCTCCCGATTATTCCCAAGATGGGAAGACTGTTGCGTGATGGCGCAAAGGTCTCCCTCAAAAGAAAATCGGTCAATTCTTCGTGAACTTGTAGTTCTTTTTCAAGAAGCTCATTTTGATTGGAAATCCTCAAAAGAGCGGTATTGATGAAGATGAGCCACTGTAATAAATCTCCGAACATGCGAGTAAGAGTTCTGGTGTTGTGATTGTTCTGATCGCTTACTGGCGTCCCTATTATCCTGACTACTAAATTGTGAGGTGCCTTATGGACTGGAGACAGGACCGCTGAAACGTCTTTCATTTCATGTGCTTGATATATCTCCTTGGTAATCCTGGAATTTTGAAAGTGGTAACTGATCTCTTGTTCGAATTTCTGGGTGAACCGAGCCAAGAATGCTCCACTCATACTGTGCTTAGGATACGAATGCATTACAAGTACGGAGTCTAGCAATTTCATTGGCATGACTGTATCTTCCATGCGATTCTGGCGGCTTGTTTGCAAGTTATTCTTCTCTGGCTCATCCTGGATATTTTCATAATCTACCGACGCCTGTCGAGCAGCATGCTGGTGTTCGAGGTCGCGTCTGGGTTCGGAAACTTCTGAGCTAACTTCAGATATCGAAGCTGAATCGAAATTGAGCCTGAATCAATTTCAATCATGAGAAACACTAGAATAAAGCACATGTTTTTTTTTTTGGCTTACAGCGAGCCTCTGTGTGAATCCCAGTAGGTTTCAGGGTTGGGGGCTGGAAATCGGATCTGACGCCATGTGAGGCCTCAATCTGTTTACTTGCATCACGGAGAATGTCGTGATCCAGCAACAGGGGTGAGATGGATGCGCTCCCAGCCAAATTAGATTCTTCGCGGCCATCGATGTTGGGAGCTTTTGGAACCAAAACAGATCTTGCATCTAAGTTGAAATTGCATAAAGTAACGAGAATCAATCGACTGCGATAAAGTATTTCTGCTTACACTGTTCCTCCTGGTGATCCTCAATTGGGTTTACGATTGTTTGCAGGTAGTCGGATCCGTTCAGCCATTCGTCTAATTCTTTCAATCTCTGTTGTTCATGAACTCTATCCAAATTAGACGGCCATAAGAGTGAGTTGTCAAAATGGCTGCTTCTTGAGTCAGGATGGTAATTTGGGTCGGGGCCATTTGATGTGGAGGCTGAAGTGAATGTGTTTCCTGGTTCATAGCTAGCTAAGCCAGCCGAGTGTGAACTGTCATAGACAGGATGTTGAGGAAGTGCAATGTATGAAGTTTGTTCAGTTGATGGCTCGAAAGGGTGAAGATGAGCTTCCGCCTGATGACTGAATGATTCTAATATTGAAAGCAAAGGAGAGGCTGTCGTCAAATTATGTGTTGGGGACGGGGTACAAATTTTGTCCGGAGTTATTGATACTTTTGCTCACCTCCCAAGTTAGAAGCGGTTGAGAACCACTCTGTGGGTTCCGACGTAGATAAGTCTCCTGTGTGGAAATTGGATTGCTGGTGACCTCCGAAGGTCAGGCCTGCCAACTTTTGCCGCTTGTCTCTATGTGGGATTGATTCTAGTTGTGCATGATGAACACATAAAAGGACAGTAATGTGAGATGAAAGATCCCCCTCCAGTTAGAACAAACTCGACAGAATGAATAGTACCTTGCACACACCTTCTTGTGTTACAGGCTGAATGCTTGAAGGAGTATTGGCTTCCGGCGCTGAGAACTCTTGCTGATGATGATTGAGGTGCGTGATTGGGTTTTGGCTAATGCTCCCAACTCCTTGGAAGCTGGGCCACGCTGCCGGTGTATCCGCAGAAAGGGTCGCGAACTTCCGAGTTGGATTAACGACATCCCACAGGGTGCCCTCATTCTCTTGCAGGCCGCTTCGGTATTGAAAGGCTAGAACCTCGGGACTGATTATGAGCCACAAGACCTTGAGCAAAGAGGGGTGGAACATTTTTGTTTTTAGATACATACGTCGAACCCAGCAGTTGACAACAGGCATCCGGTGGTAAAGCCGTCGCTACATTTGAAGGTCCCTGATCAAGAGGTTTTACTGGCTCTCGGGATTGCGAAATCCACTGAATGGGAGCCGGGTCACGTCCCGGCTCGGACGGTTTGGCGTACATATTGAGCCCCACTGTCATCACAAACACGGTGTCACCTGAAGTCTGACAGTCTCAAGCCGAAGCGGCACCTGCAACGCATCATGAGACTGGTCGGCCGCAAGCTCAGGGGCAACACTGTACCTTCATAACTTCACGGTTAAAAACTGAGAAGTTTCCCCAAATCAGCGTTTAGGCTCCTAAGTTAACATCTTTTTCAATCAGTGCTAGAGTGAGTAGAGTGGCCATCTTGCGCGAATGGCCTAAGAGTGGAATGGTGGGATATGTGGCCCAATCCCAGCACCATAAAACATGTATTATGTGGCCCAATCTCAGAGTCAGGGGCCATGAAAGTGGGAAAAATGCTTGTCATTTGATACAAGGGGGATTCATTGATCTGTGTATTCAGAATGGGTGAAACTGAATGGTGCTCTTGTCAGTCGCGTGTCGCGCGGCCAGGCTGAATTTCCTCCCTGACTTCTCGAGCTGACCGATCACATCCAAGTTGTAAACTGTCGTCATCAACCATCACATACTTCCTTTTGACTTTTCAGAATAAGAATAACATCAATAAAAAAAATAACGACTCATACTCTGCAAGATGTCTTCGAGCAAGAGTTATATTATCAAGCAATTGCTAACCAAGGTCAGCAGGGCCTACTCTCCGTCGGAATTAGTTTCAGAGGTGCTAACCCCAAGTTGTTCTGATTGCCTTCACAGATGCGCAATCCAGACGCCGATTTCAGATTCATGGCCCTGACAGACTTGATCAAGGAACTGACTGCAAGGGTTCACGTGGGCGAGAAACCGTTTCACATGGACGAGGCAATCGAGAAAGAAACAGTCGATCTGGTACTTGACATGGTCAAAGATAAGAACACCGAAGTCAAAAATCAGGCAGTCAAGACGTAAATCAGATCCCAAACTTCAATTTACCACCTCAATTTCTGATTGCTTATCGTGAAATTTCCTGAATTTTCGTCCATGCCGTTGGTTTCTTGTTAGATTGGGTGTTCTCGTCAAAAGCGTCAGTGATCCCAGGATGACTCGAATCGTTGACAAGTTAATCTCCTACAGCGCTAACGAGGACGAACAACTACGTGACTTGGCTGGCCTAGGTAAGTGTTCCAGTATCAAATATCCAATCTGCACCTGAAAGCACCCAAATCTCTCTGACATCCTCCCTCTCCGATGTTTAGCTTTGAAAACCGTGGTCACTGAAATCCCAACAAATTCCAAACTGGCACCTACGTTATGCAACAAGCTCACTCCGAAATTGATCACACAGCTGCAAGACATGCCTGCCTCCTCAGACACTTTAGTCACCCACCTTGACGTGTTGTCCGATTTACTCGTCCGCTTCGATATCTATTTCCGATCAAACTCTTCCATTCAAAGCCAAGCACTCAAAGCCCTCTTGCCCAATCTTACCAACCCTCGAACGGCCGTGTCCAAAAGGGTAGTCACCACCTTAGGCTCCCTAGCAGGCTGTTGCAGTGATGACATCTTCTTCTCTCTCATCTCGAAAACTGTGATGCCCGGATTGCGTAACACTGAACCCCTCAGATTGAAGAATATCGTCTTCTTGGCCGGCGTCTTGGCTAGGGCATCTCCTGAAAGATTCGCAACTGTTCTCACTGAACTGGTGCCGTTGGTGGTAAAAGTCTCGGAAGTGGACGAAGAGGAATTGAGAGATACAAGTCTTCAGACCCTCGAATCTTTGTTATTGAAATGCCCCACTGAGATCTCGAGTTTCATCCCTCTGGTCATTAATGCCGCCACTAAGGCTATCCAATACGATCCTGTAAGTCTATCACTTCAACTGACCCAGAATGGTAACGCGTGATTATTATGGGGGGTGATATCTGATCTAATGGCTATCATCCGTCCCTCTGAGACTTTAGAATTACGCTGGTGTGGATGAATCTGACGAAATGGACATCGATGAGAATGAAAATGAGGAGGACGATGAAGATGCGGAGTTTGGTGATGAGTCAGTCGACCAGTAATCACTCTTCTTTTTTTTTTATAAAAAAAGGCATCCTGACTGCTTCTTGATGGCTTCACAGGTACTCAGACGATGATGATATGTCCTGGAAGATACGTAGAGCGGCCACCAAACTCTTATCTACTTTGATTGCTACTCGCTTTGAGCTTTTGCAGGAGCTTTATCAGTCGGTTTCACCTGTGTTAGTTTCGAGGTTTGAAGACCGTGAAGAAAGTGTCAAGTTGGAAGTCTGGTCTACGTTCACCGTTCTGCTCAAGCAAACTAAAACCTTTTCGGGTTCTGAGGACCAAGGTCCTACAGAGAACGTTCTGAAACGCAAAAGGCCGGCAATGTTAGATGATCAGAAGGCTAACGGGCCTCTGGGCTTGTTACGTGCTCAATCACCCACCATCTCGAAATCGATCATCAAGTGCTTGAATTGCAAGTCGATCGCCGTCCGACAAAGCGGATTTACGTTGTTGTACGAGTTGATTAATGTCTTGGGTGGCGGTTTGGAAACTCAAATCTTGCCATTGTTAGACCGGATTGAGGCCTCTCTAAAATCTGCGGATGCCGGCGTTTCTGGCTCGGGGACCTCTCTCAAGATGGAAGTCTACAAGTTTTTGACCTTATTTTTCCGCACCCACCATCCACGATCTTTTACACCTGAGCTAGTCCGCTTCATCAACCTGCTTCTGTCCGGCATCAACGATCAGTATCATCGAATAACTAGTGAAGCCTTCATAGCCGCATCCTCTTTGATCAAAGTCTTAAGCCCCTTGGCACCCTCTTCACCAGTCCATTCTGATTCTGCTAGCGCCCTCAAAGCAATTTACGACGCGACCATGAACCGTTTGAATTGCTCTAGTGCTGATCAAGAAGTTAAAGAGTGGGCAGCAACGTGTTACCAAGATTTAATTACTCACGCTGCCAACCTTTTCGAAAGCGATTTTGGTAACTCGTTACCTATCATCAGCCAGCGTTTGGATAACGAAATCACCAAATGTAGTACGCTTCAGGTTGTCACTCAAATTGCCCGATCACCCGTCCCCAAAGGGGAAACTTTTGAAAATTGGATCAGGCAAATTATTCCTGTCGTGGGATCCTTCTTGCGCAAGAACAACCGAACCCTGAAGATCTCGTCCTTCGAATGTCTTAATGCACTTCTCACACGATCGAATACTAAAATTGACCCTCCAGTCGTCCAGACCTTGATTTCCGACCTGCATCCGATGATTGATGTCAAGGATCTACCCCTGTTACCTTTAGCATTGAAATCTCTTGGCTTCGTCATCCCATTTGCCTCGGACTTATCAGCTACCGCCAAAGCCGAATTACTTGAGCCTGTCTATCAAATCATCCAGTCCGCTGCGATTGCCCAGGGGCCGGCTCTAGATGCCTTGATATCTCTTTTCTCTGCGTTGGTCGAGCACAAGCTGGATCAGCCTGAAGTTTTGATTGGTAGTTTGGTTAATGCCGTTGATCAAACCTCGACACTCGAGCAAGCAAAGACAGCGGTACTCACCAAAACTGGCGGAATTATGTCCCCAAATGCTGCTTCTGGTTTGCAGCCTTACTATACGGCTGCCCGATGTATCGGAGCAGTCGTTCGTGTACAGCCAGCGGCCGGGCTTCAAGTACTCGCAAACTTTACATCCGTCTTACAAGATCCTGCTGACAACAAAACTTCAGTATTTTTCAGTCTGCTGTGCCTTGGTGAAATTGGTCGTGTTGCGTAAGTAGGCGTTTCCCCAAAGGATTTCTTTCTGTTATTTAGGCTGACGCTAAGTTCCCGGATCCAATTCTATTCCAGTGATCTGTCTTCTCATCATGAGGTCTTCAAGAGCGCATTGACTAGGTTTGATTCATCATCTGAAGACATGCGAAATGCTGCAGCCTTTGCCATCGGTAAGTTTTGAAAGGCTTGAGAATTTGCGAAACCCGATGGATTGACTTCGATCATTCTCACCTTTGTAGGCAACATGGCCACTGGGTCTGCCGACGTTTTCCTTCCTAATATATTTCAACTCATCGGGACCACTGGAAAGCATCGTCATCTCCCACTTCAAGCCCTTAAAGAAGTAAGCTTTTCATCCACAGGAATTGCCGAACATATCGAACCTAGCACTGATGATTCCCTGTTCAACTAGTTCATTGCCCATGCGCCCAGCCCTAGCTTGTCCAGTCATGCCGATAGCTTGTGGGATCCGTTATTCGATGCGGTGGATGGTCAATTAGAAACTTCCAGAAATGTTGCGGCCGAATGCCTCGGCAAGCTTACCCTTTCTGATGCTAGCAAATTCCTTCCAAGATTACTGGTACGTCCTTTTTTAAGGCTTAACATATGTTCCGGAAACCACGTTGGCGATATCTGACATGACACTTTGGCAATCTATTAGGCACGCCTTAAATCGCCCTCCCCTCAGATCCGAATGTCGTGCATGACTGCAGTCCGGTTCACGTTGACAGATGACACGCCTGGATTTGACGAACAATTGGCGCCGTTTATCTCTGAGATCTTGGGCCACATTCGGGATACCGATCTCTCCGTTCGATCCTTGGCGTTATCCGTCTTGGATTCAGCCGCTCATAACAAGCGGAACTTGGTCAGAGACGTTCTCCCCCAACTTTTACCCCACTTGTATGCAGAGACTTCCGTCGATCAAAGTCTTGTTCGGTTTGTCGAGATGGGCCCTTTCAAACATCGAGTCGATGACGGACTAGAAACTCGCAAGGTCAGCTTTTTTCTCGCGCTTCTCTTCAAGCAAAACATTCTATTCACTAATCCTGTTCTTGTTCATTGCTCAAACAACATTTTTTTTTGTGATACATAGTTGGCGTATTCTACAATGCTCACATTGTTAGAGACTTGTCTTAACAAAATCGATATCAACGAATTCACCAATCGAGTGTTGAGCGGTTTATCGGATGAAGACGAGATCAAAGTGCTTTGTTATTTGATGCTGATTCGGCTTTCGCATATAGCCCCGACCACCATAGCGTCGCGTGAGTGGTCTTCTTCTACAATCACTCTTTTTTTTTTTTTCTTGGCACACATTAATAAAGTGTTGTTGAATTTGTTTTGGATGAATGGCCAGGTCTTGACCAATCCAGCGAAGCTTTCTCGGCAACGATCAACCTGAAACTGAAGGACAATTCGGTCAAACAAGACCATGAACGCACGGCCGAATTACAGAGATCGGCGCTTCGAGCTTTGGTTGCCCTTTTACGAGTATCTTCGCCAAGTAAGATCCACATTTACTTCGCTGTATCTTCTCATCCATCATCCAAGCGTATTGTCAGAGAAAATGTTGATCTTTTCCCCCGTTCAATGTTTAGGCACTTCACCAAAATTCTGTCAATTGATTAAAGATACAAGTAATCATCCTACCCTGGGATCAGACTTCAAAGAACTAGCTAAAACTAGTTCATCTTTTGGTTCTTGAACCCCCCCAAAAAGCATGTTGGGTCTTGTTGCATGTCCTCCTCTCATCTGCTTTCCTCAGCCAATCTTTCCTTTTTCTTTTCTTCCTCTTCCTCCTTTTCTGCTGCTGCTACTCTATTATGAATAGAAGATTAACGAAATGAAAATGTATCTTTACCTTTTTCCACAAACTCAGAAAGTGAGACTATATATATTCATAATTATAGTATGCCCTTTTCACTTTTTGAGATGAATGATGATTGTTACAATGTTGGATTGCTCAGATGAACTGAACTTGCTTGGGTTCTCAACTGGATGGGCTTGTTGTAGTGCTATTTCTACCATTAAATTAACTGTATGGAAATTGTATTGTGGGGACTTGGACTGCTGCTACCTGTATTCATCTATGGGTCATTCCAACTCTTTTGGGAGTGGGATGAATTTTACAGTGCTTCCATGTGATGAGGGGAAAGTACATTTGGGGTGTTCAAGATTGAGCTATCCACATAGATTCATATATTTGTAGATGCATAGACTTTTCAGGTAAGTTTAGGTGTGGAATTCCTTGTTATGCATCAAATGGATCTGGATGCACTATTATCCACCTGATAGATACATCCTCCCAACTGAAAATCCTTTCAAAATAAATAAGATGAACTGACAGCCGTTGTGTATGTAAATGTTTGCGCTTTTCCACACAAGTTTTTTTTTTTGCACAACTTCTTTTTGACCCTGAATCATTCATCCCTGGCCCCGCCTCTGCAAAGTGCTGTGGACCACCCAATCGGCCAAAGTTGAACACTTCCATTTTTGGGCTGAGTCGGTCATGATACTTGGTCAGTCAGCTGCTGCACCTTAGCCCAACAGGTGCATTAAAGGTGCAAAGCTTTGAAGATCAGGGACAAAAAAAGAAGCTTGAAAAGACACAATCATTGACACAACAGCTATTATACTACATTGATTTTCAGTGTGAAGAGAAAGAAAAATCCAAGTTGGGAAGCTTCCTTAGTAAGCCATTTTGAAGGCTTTTACTTGACTCAAACACAGGGTGATTTTGAGGATACCATTCAGAGCTGTTGATCAGACTCACCGTCTTAGTGCTCAGAATCTGTGAGAAAGTGTTTGTTTGTTTGTTTTTCTTGAACCTCTTGATCAAAAAGCTGATAAGAAAGAAATGGCTATCAAAGAACAAATGACTTGGACCAAAAAGGAACATGTCAGTTGTACTGGTAGTGTCATGCACCCTAAGCATCATCATCACTCCCCTTCTGAAGCCTTCAAGGGCTCAGATATTGGTTTCTGGAAATTCAATCAATGGGCTCAAGAAATCGTCTCTTTGTTTACACATGTGTCTTCCACCTCACTCTGCCCAGGATATAGAAAGACACAACAATCAAACCTTGGTCCATCTGACAAGTTGAATACAAACTACAACTACTTGATATTCAAATTAGTAGACATCTAACAAATACACTAAGAGAGATTTTTTTCTTTTTGTTCCTCTTGAAAGAAAGAAAAGAAAGATTCAACAACAGCAATTGTTGGACTTTGTTGTTGTTACACATGATGATCCCAATCAAAATCAGAACATGAACAGAAAGAAAAAAATGAAGATGAGATCCATTGAATAATAGCATTGCTGCAAAAGACACAAAGATAATTGAAGTATATGTTTGTGTGAATTTAAATACATACTATATATATATATATAAATATATGACACATTGAATAAAAGAGGAAACCTGGCCACCAATTTTCTATCCCAGTAATGTTTGAAAAAAAGAGAAAAGAGAAAAGGATGAACAACAATAGTAAAAAATTGGTACAAAATCAATAAGAGGGCAAGTTAGGTAGAACGATCACTGAATAAAAAAAGAAGAAGAAGTAAAAAGTATGAGGAGATTTTTGGGTCCTCAAAGAAGACAAAGATTTGATGCTCAGAAAGGAAGAAGCAAACAACAAATAAAGAAAAAAAGGGGGGCGGATGAAGAGGGAGGGCAGTTTCGGTTATTAGCCAGTGGTAGTATTGCTACTGCTTCCATGTCCATCACCGAAATCGTTGAGAGTAATGAACTCTTGTAAGCTGAAAAAATTGATTGGCTGGTGAATCATTCAATGTCAGAAGAAAAAAAGGAATAGAATCAGTGATTTGATTGACAATTGTTTTTGGGAAATTGTTGTTTGAAAAAACAAAAGACTCAGAAGTTCACATAAAAGAAAAAAGAAAAGTTTCCAAGAAGAATCTCTTACTAAGAAAGAATTTATGCGGAATAAAAAAAAAGAGAAAGAAAGGGATTAAAGAAAAACCACTAACTTTTGTTCTGGATTTGTCTTCTGGCGTAGGACAAGGGATGTGTTCCTCCAGTTCATTGAGCATCGACCAAGTGAAACAAGTTTGTTGGGCGACGAGTTGCAAGATCGAAGTAGGTGATCTACCCAGATGGACTTGAGAGAGAGAGAGAGAGAAAGAGAGAGGCAGAAAGACGAAACTGGGTTAGTTCTGCAAAACTGAGCATCAATTAAATGGAGACAACCACTCACCGAGGATGGCAGCATTGACTCGATGAGCCAACAAATCCCTACGGCTTTGATCGAGATACTTTCGGACGGGCGAGTCCCAAGGATCGACATAGGCCAGAAGCCCAGCAACGTTCTCCAACTCCTTGGCAAAGATAGCACGTTCGACGGGCTCGGGTAGCTGATGAACGAAGTCGTGCAAGGCCCTACAATGCGGCAAGGACAAGGCTAGGGAGGTCGTCCGAGTCGAGACACTGGAGGAAGTCGTCGACGTATCGTCGCTTAAGGCGCCCACTGAGTTCGAAAGATCAGTGGCCATCCCGTTTGATGCTCCGCCGCCGGAATGACTGGTCGGCGACGAACCACCAAGCCTGCGGACCGCATGTTCTGACATCTTCCCATTGGCGTGTGAAGGTTCAGGAGGACCGGGCCCGACCGATGAGCCCCGAGCAGTGTGATTCTCGTGATCATGCTCTAAGCCGTTGGAGTTAATCGGCTGGCTTTGCGAGATCGATCTGACAAATTCAACAAAGAATTGGATCTGCAAGTTCAAGGCGACGTGTGCCGGATTCAAGGAGCCAAAAGCGCCATGAGAAAGACGACTCTGACTAGGAGTCATCTCAGATGATGTGGTCGATGTGGGGTTCAAATCATTGTTCTTTGAAGAACCTTGTCGCGAGTTATTTTGAGACCGATTGGGTGAACTTGAGCTCATGCTTGATGAATTCAAACCGCTACGTGAAGATAAGGTTCCCCTGAGCGGACGATTGGCGAGGGAGATACGAGATTTTCGCTGGGCAAGGACGTGGCTCGACATTTGACCGTTCGAAGTGTTGGAAGCTTGGCCGTTGGAAGTGCTAGAACCTTGGGCTACAGGAGTGTGAGAGCTTTGAAAAGTAGACGACGAGCTCCCAGGCAAGGGGTTTCCACTGGACTTGGAATGAAGAGGGGCGCCCAAGACGGCCGGAAAATGCGTTTCGATGAGCTTGATGGCTTCCTTGATCCTCCCGCCGATGATGTGTTCCTTGATAGCTTTGGTTGATAACATGAATCACAATAAAGAAAACCGATCAGCACCACAATTTAGAAATTCCGATAAGGAGAGGATGAGTAAGACAATCCCACCTAGTCGTAATCGTGTTGTTTGTACGTCCTGTGCAGTCCAATCTGGATAATGATCAGCGCGATCGGTGCCGGCCGGCCGATTGGACGAGCAACTCTCTCCGTTTTCAGCCATCTCGTCCCTAGGAAAGCTAGACGTATCTTTGGCCGAAAGGAATGGCGTGGCCTCTGAATTTCCACCGGAGATCACATCAATATTGGAGTGGAGGAGAGGATGTGATGAGCTGGAAGTGTCTGCCAAGTCGCCCATCTCTGCGTCGCCATCATCATCTGTATCGAACCTTACGGTACGTTCGACCACAGTATCCTTGACGGCCGGAGTGGATTGGTTTGATTTATCTCCTGATAAGCTCTTAGATGCGTGTCCATCGGTAGTTTCTGAAGGATTTTCGCTGCTATTGGCTGATTCCCTGGCAAAGGCTGAGGCGGTATCGACAAAACATTGGTGACAGAGGTAGTCAAGGACCAGTTGTCTCATTTCGGCTGGATCTGTTGGTCTCCGGGGGCCGTATTCATTGAGGAGCATGGCCGGACTAGTGCTTGTTGAATGGGTAGGATGATGATTGGTTGATGAAAGACTTGGATCTGTCAAATAACGAGACATCTCAAGACTGCTTCCCAGATCGTTGGCCAGAAGAAAACTGGAAGATCCCCAGAGAGGAAATGGAGTATGATAAGCATGCTCTGTAATAACAAGTTTGAGTAGGATGATTCAGGTAAGAGAATCCGACTGACCACCAAATAAAAAAAATCGAAACTAGATAAGCCTCGCAAGACGATTGAATTTACCACGAGGATTGTAACCTGTAAAATTATATTTTCTGTTTTTTGTTTGTTTGTTTAAAAAAGCCTAAGATTAGATAAACATCACTTTGGTCGAAAGGGAAACTGAGATACCAACCACCATGAATCGATAAAACAGAGTGAAAAAAGAGAACCTACTGTTTGTTATTGATCGGCGAAAATTCCGAGATGGCACCCTGAATGACCAATTCAAAAATAAAAAAGTGAAGAAAGGAGGAGTGTCAAAATCGCAACCAATGATGACCGAGTGAGGTATGGTTAATGTGAGGGATGATGAGTGTTTTGGTTGGACTGCCAAACTCTAAAACACTCGCAACGGGATGCCGATCGATCTCAATCGGGGACTCCGAAGAATCCCCCGGGAAGCAACCCATTCATCAGAGCCCACAAATACAAGCCGTCGAGGCTTGTGCTTCTAATTGTAAACTCTACATACATATTCAACCAAAGATCTCATATTGTTCACGATGTGAATTATTGATTGGTTGAGGCCAAGGAAAAGAACAGTGGAGTGATGAAGAAGAAAATAATGAAGAGTGGAATGAATTGAGAAAAAAAATAAGCAAATTGAAGGGGATATTTTGATGATGAATAGGAAGTAATTAAGAAGATGAGTTCTGCATAAATCCAAGAACAAAAAGTGGCAGTACTGATTGGTGAGATTGTGTTTATGACCATGAAGGAGAACTACAAGGATCATGAGATTTTGGAAGAAATTTCATAGTTTTAGTATTTTCTTTTAGTCTGGAACTCAAAAGTAAGGGTTGCCCTCTGATCACCAGCAGTCAAACTGAATGGATTCCTCCAAGGGATCAATTTGATCAGTTTGATTTTGGGCAGATTGATCGATTTAAAATTCTTCAAGTTTGCTCCACTGTTGAGTCTTACCTTCATCCTTACAATTGATTTGTGAAAATACTTTTTGTTTTGGAAGACTGTAAACCATTTCACGTGGTTCTCTTTCTGGTAAAAGTAGCAAAGAAAGTCAATGGCTGCCCTGCTTTTCATGATGTCTGGATGATGATATTCATGATCTTCAAAATTTGGCTTGTCTTGCCCAATAACATCCACATCATTCATTCTTTGATCACAACATAATGAGCTAAATATTAAATTTTGGATGCCAATTCTTTTCCTTAAATCACTTTTCCCTTTGGTGCTGGAAATTGATGAAGAAGATTCATCTACAGACAATTTGGCTTCATTGAGAATTGAGAATAGTTCTTTTTGTAGATTATTTTGCTCTTGAAGATATATTTGATCTTCTTCCTCATGTCCTAGTGTTCCAATAAGCACTGAGTTCAGCACCCAAATCAATTTTGCAAAATCTTCTAACCTAGTCAAAATGTCTTCTTCAGAAAAAGTTGTGTTTAATTTATGTTGATTGATGAGTTTGATTAAGCCATTTTGACTGAACATTTGTATTTGTGATAGGAGAACATTCAAATCCAGTTTTTCCACTTTTTCTTTCATCAAATTGTTTATTCTGTGTACCTTTGAGATGGAATCCCAACTCTTAAAAACAATTTTCTCTCTAGAATCATACATAGAAAATTCATCAACCCTTCCCTCTGAAGTGTAAGTAGGTACATCTTTTATGAAGCGACTTAAATCCATTTTGAACTTTGTTTCACCAAAGTAGAATCTATGTGATGTTTTAGTTTTGTTTGACTTTTTCAATTGACCCTTCCAGGGAATTATCTCTAATGGTTGAAGGGTGTTCATCTTGCTTTGGTAATATGATCTCAAAGACCTGATATGATTTGTTTGAATCTTCCCTAAATAGTTTAGAAATAAAGTTTCATTCTTGAATACCTCCTTCCACTTTTCTGAGTTTGTTTGTTGGTAGTATACAGCCAATACTTCTACAGCCAATTTACTGATCAGTAACTGGTTTTCTGAAATCGCTCCATAAGATGTTTGAAAACCTCCAAAGGAATGTCCCAAAAGATAAATTCCCTCATTTGATGTTTCTGAGGTTAGGACAGAAGTTGCAAAATTCACAATGTTTGATTTATCAAACTTATTCCTCATTGAAATATTCTTCTCTTGATTATATAAATCATCTATTATCCAATCATAAACATCCAGGTTGTGCTTCAAGTAACCTTCCATGGGCAAAATGCCAAGATTCCTAAGTAATCTCAGATTAATGAACCATAGGATATGAGAAAAATTCAGCACATTTTCTTCAACAATTTTGGAAGTGAAATGCATACTTGATCCATGGTTTTTGTACCCTTGTCTGATAATTTTTATGATTTTAGAGGTTAGTTGATTATTAAATTTTGTGATAAACTGATCATGAGATTGCTTGAGATGTTGATCTTCTGGATGAGCAATATAAGTGGAAACTCCAAATATCCACCCCCATATCTTCTCTTTATGGGGAAGATTGAAGAAAATACTCCATTCATTATATTGTCTCTCTATTCCAATTTCTTTTTTTGGTTGATCAATTTTTGGATCAATGGAAACTGGCTGAATTTCTGAATCTTTTTTACCATCCAAACTTAATTCCTTGCTTGAGAAAGGCAAATCCTTTTCTTTTTTAATTGATTTATTGGATGTCACAAAAGGGAAATTTAATTTGACTATAGGTCCAGAATGGGTGTCTTGGATTTCTTGTTTGTTATGAAAATTTACAGGCTCTTCCAAGAACAATGAACCCCTACCAGAGGTTGAAACATTATTCTTTTCTGGAAGCAAGCCCAAATAAATCAAAATCAGCATTTAACCTTTTTAGATTTTGGTCTTGGAGGAAAGAATGAAACTGGAACCTGAAATGCTTGAAATCAAAACAATTACCTGTGTTGGCCTGACTAGTATCATCCAAGGATATCCACAAATTCTCCCTAGCATCTTCCTTATTACTGAGTGGATGATGATTGTTCACAGACAGGCCAAAATCAATCATTCTAATGGCTAAATCAAATTGCGCAAATAAAATTTGAGTTCCTATAAAGCCAAAATATGTGAAAATGTTAATTATTAGAAAGCTTACCATTGATTTTATGATGTCTTTCATCTTCAGATATCCACCCACCAAAATCTTTGATGTTAGGGTGTGAAACCTTCTTCCTTTTGGGTCTTCCTTTTGAGGGACCCAGAGACAAGCTAAGATCAAGCTCAAGCTCTTCGCCCGGAAAACCTAATCAATCATGTCACATTGAATCCCTCTTGAGTACTTTGAAAATGCATCTGCACTCAAATATGTTGTTCTGCTTACCGTTATGACTGATTCTTGATGAGCGGACCATACTTTCCTGAGATCTTGGGTCTGTGTTCCATCCTTTGAAAATTTCCAAGTATTCATGAGAATGAATCAGTTTAAACTCAAGCACCGGTTCACAAGAAAAGGGTGCTAGTAAGAATACTATCTGAGTGACGGTAAGCAACACCCATAAAGTATTAAGCGAAATCGGCCATACTGGAGGCGGCTTTTTTCCGGTAAGGCTCACACAGCAGTGACTTCACGAGACGCAAACTTTAAGAAAAACTTCTCACCCATAAACTCGATTTCTCTCACTCCAGCACTTTTCAACGGAAATACTGGTCGGATAGTTTGGTTCAAGTCAGGCGAACCGCCGTTCGTGGCTGCAGCATCGGTTTCTACCAGAGGCAGTATCAAAACCATTAGTATACTAAGCCTGACTGATCATTACCCAAGTCTCATCAAACTATGAGGCTGAGTGTAACGACTAAGCTCACAGCAGCCCTAGACAAGCAAAAGAGGAATGATCCAACAGCACACGCAAACGGATCGAGCTGACTTAGTTTCTTTTTGAAGCAGGACAAGTTGGGATCTTGGTTACGGAATTTTATTGTTTAATGATAAAACAAAGATTTCGCCATGAGGAAAGAAACCCTCGAGGCGAGTACAAGTCCTTAAATATTATTACCTAGCTACAACCGAATTACGCTATTCACTGATTCTACTATCACTATCCTTTTACAGATTGGTATAAAAATCTTTTTCTTCTTTGATAATTCTTACGGATCGATACAAATCTTTTTTCTTCTTCGATAGTTATTTTCTTAATTCTTTTCTTTGAAATTCTTCTTCCTAAACGCCTTTTAAAGTATCGAACCATTTTTTTCTTCTTATAAGAGTACCGATCTTTTTTGAATTCTTTTTTCCTATCTCATCGATCTTCTTCTAACTGAACTCATTCTCATAAGAATTTTTTGAAATTTGCTGTGTGTTGTGCCTGCTCGTTACAAATATGCCTTGCCTATTATATCCTTTTTTCTTTGATTTATACAAGGCCACCAAATTGTTCCTAAAGGTATCTAAATAATTGTGCAAATAACTTGGAATATCTCTGTCAGCTACCCAAGTGTCCTCTCCCGGAGTAGAGTTGCGCCAGCGAAGCAAATAATCAAACTTACCCTTACTTACCTGCCTGGCGTCGAGAATCATTGCTAATTTGGACCAGTCAACAATTCTTCCTTCCTTATAATATTGTTCCCTAATGCCCTGAACCGTCCCGCGACCCTGAACTTCCCTAGGATTTTTGTATCTTACTACCAAAGAAACATTGAAAACTGGATGAATCTTTGGATAATCCCTAGCAATATCTAATCTTACCGCGTTTTTTCCTACCATTTCAATGACTCTGAACGGACCTAGAAACCTGTAATCTAACTTTGAATTTAGCCTCCTAGTCGAAATAAACTTACGTAATAGAAGAACCTGGTCCCCTTCTTCATAATGCGAAGCTTCCCTTCTTCTTAAATCATAATATCGAGCCTGGCGTTGTTGAGCCTGGGTTAGGCACTCGACTGCCCTTTCCTGAATGAATTGCAAGTCCTCTGCAAATTCATCTGCCGGCTTGATACCCGAGCTGTTTGTTAGTACGCTGAACTTGGGATGGAAACCGTAAGAAAAGAAAAAAGGGGAAACTCCTAGAGACGCCGAATCTGAATTGTTGATCGCAAATTCTGCCAAGTCCAAAATCTTATCCCAGTTATCCTGATAAAATGAACAGAAATGACGGAGGTAATCTTCTAAAACTTGGTTCATTCGCTCCGTTTGCCCATCTGTCTGCGGGTGGTAAGCGCTAGAATACCCACTCTTGATTTGCAAAGAATTCATTAGGCTGTCCCAGAATTTACTTACGAAAATTGATCCCCTATCGGAGATAATCTTCTGGGGTAATCCATGAAGCTTCACTACATTCGTTCGGAATAAATTTGCGACCTGGGCTGCTGAATAAGTCTCCTTACAAGGAATAAAGTGAGTCATCTTACTCAACAAATCAATCACCA